ATCACAGTAGAGCACTTATATAAAACTTTATCCCAATATTGGTGTGGACCTTTTGTTGATTAATTTACCTGGTTTTATTTTGATATATTGGATCTTTTCACGTTACTTCCTGTCTATTCAGTGGAGTTCACATGTCTAACCTCACATGTTAACCTGTCTACATATTTAAATATCTCATATGGATTTCTGTTATATCCTTGGTTTTGTTATTTTTCCACTTTTGTTTAATAAATCTTGTTTTTTTGAGGCCACACTTCCTGTTGTAATGTAACACTTAACCAACAGCTGATAGAGCAAAACAATGCCGATAGACGAGTGTTTCACAACTAGTGGACACAACTTGAATTAATGATGAGGAGTTTAAACGCACTGTTGACTTGTGAGGATTAAAGCTTTGTAAATAACACAATGAGCTCTGAGGAGGCAAACAGGTCAGGACTTATTTACCGATCCATCTCTTCAAATCCCCTCCTGTCGGCTCTCTGCTGTTCACATAAACAAGAGCTGATAGGCGCACATGTATACGAACCACATTAGCAAAATTTCGAGAGAGTTCATACAAAATACATATATTGGCTTCAAAACTATAATCCGCAGGGTCTAAAGTTTAATATTTGTCTGTGTCGATACTTTTCAAGAATATTCTATATATAAGTCTTAAGTCCAGCTGCACAATTTTGATTTTTCTATGAGTGAGTTTGGAGTTCAAACTGGTTTGATTTTACTGTGAGATACAACTCTAGTTTCAATTGGCTTTGTGTGGGTGTGATCCATTGCTATCATAACAGTCATCTGGACCACGTTTTCATTCCCCTCCAGAAAAAAAAAAAACACAGTAAAATGCATTTGTTCCAGGGTTGGAATGTGTAAGTAAGTAAGTAAGCTTTATTTATATACTGCCTTTCACAGACCAGAGTCACAGAGCGGTTTACAATTGTTATTTTTGGGCATTTGTCTCTCACTCCACACAGAGATGGGAGCGGGGCCAGTACAGGAGGCGCATGCCAGACCTATTGTGCATGTTTTTAGTGGTAGGGTAAACCGGAGTACCCGGACGCAAAAGTTTGTAAAAAAGCGCATTTCCAAGTGTGTTAGGGTCCTTACCTTAGTTATTAATGAACAACACAGACCAGTTCAGTTCAGACCAGTCTCATGTTTAAGTCCAGATAATAGTTTGAGCGCAGAGATGTAATCCTCCATTTGGAAATAAGTTCAATGAGTTTTAAAAAGTAAAACAAACGGGTGTCTCCTCCATAAACTCCTGTGTTTCGCTGAAGCCGACTCCCGGATGAATCCAATTTCTAATATCAACCTTACCCTTCACCTCTTTTTCTTATGATTCATATCATCATTGGAAGCATAACATTACCCTAAGTGAATTTTAAATTATCTTAAAATGTAATATATGTATGTTAGCCAAACCTGTAGCTGCCCTTAGCAGATGAAGAACAAAAAAGGAGCTTTCTGATGGAATTGAATGCAGCCAAATGTTGGGCTCACAAGCGCCCCCTTGAGGCTTTCCTCACTTACAAACTGAGGTTGAGCGCGATTAAGACCCATATTTGCTTCAAAAACACAATTTATGAGCCATCTTGTAAACATGTTGATTGTAAATTAAATATTGTTTAACTAATTAAACTGCTATAAACAGAGAAAACAGTTTGATAGCACCTCACAGGCCTCTCCTTGTGAGCTGCAGGTTTTACGTCTCCCAAGAGAGGCTCGCCTCACAGCGCCGCTCTGTCAAATCTAGGCAAAGGCAAAGTCACATTGAAATAATGCACTGCACAAATCACTTGATATAGTGACCAAGCATTATTGTATCCATTTTATTATTTTTCTTTCTATGATCTAGGTGAGGCTGGCCCTGACCTGCCTCATCTGACCGCACAGTACACTGAAGCCGCCGGAGAGACTGACGCTTGAATGCGCAGAGTGACCTGATAGATGAGATGTTTCTACCCTGCTTTATAATTCATCAGTAGTTCACTGAGAGAAGGTTCACTTTTAGGAAAATATGAAAGTTCTTATATGATTGCAAACTGTTCCTTTTCTGTCAGTGTCAGTGCGATTTACTTAAAATTGTTCCATTGTTCCAGCTTTTAAAAATGTATTTTTTTTACATCCTTTACAGCGTCTGACAGTGCGCACGTGCCATACGGCAAAATTGTGTTTGTTTCTTTGAAAAAACAATGTTCAGTTTGATAAGTGCCTTGCTTGATCTATATTGTTTAATTTTCGTTTTCTTAACAATTAAGATGCAACCAACAAAAACCCGCCCCCCCTCTCAGAAAATAGTTCCGACGTCCATGCCGACATAGTGCTGTAATGTAACACGCCATTATTAGTGTCGAGATAACTGTAATCATGTTCGACCCTCTGATATTTATGAAAAAACAAAACTACTTTTTATGTTGATGTTGCGGTACTTTTCTGTCAAAATTTAAAATTAGGCCCGGCGGAAGGATCCTCCACGCTGGATTCGTAAAGCGGTTTCCGGTGTGGTCCTTCCTTTCCTCCGCTTCAAGGTAACGTGGTCACCGCGTTTGCGCGAAGAGAGCTATTTAACTCGTTTTTGTCTGTAATGTAGCTAGAGATTACGTCATTTTTGTATTGTATGTGTCTTTGTATGTCAAATAAATGTCACGTTAGAATGGGTGGACCTGTAAATTGTGTAGAAATATGTGATGTGGACAATCACGACGTAGGCCTCGCCGAGCAGCATTAGTACATGGCCATAAGCTAACAAGCTAACAGGCTAACTCATTCACTCAATATGGCAGTCTAGTTCGCTTGACATGTTTACAGTTTTCCATTCTTCTTGAGTTTTTGTTGATAATAATCCAGGCGCCTCTATTTTAGATTCAACATGTCGTCCCACTTGCAGTGGATGGTCATTCGAAACTGCTCCAGTTTCATCATTAAGAGGAATGGGCAGACCTACAGCACTGTAAGAACATCGGAGCTTCTTGAACCAAATTAAATACTGATAACCTTGTGTCATGTAAATTCATTTGGTGTGTATTATCAGGAGCCTAATAACCTGAAGTCCAGGAACTCTTTCCGCTTCAATGGACTGGTGCATAAGAAGACTGTAGGTGTTAAGCCTGCACCTGATGGCAAAGGAGTTGTTGTTGTGCTGAAGAAACGTGCAGGTAAGTCCATGAGGTGCCTCTCAATGCTTAAGTGTTAAACTGGCTGGAGGTGTTGGATTGGGTCTAGAATTAGATTATTTTCAGGGAAGTTTCTTTATGGCTATACATAATTTGAACTGTGTGTGAGCGGCATACATTTGTCCTCCTGAAATTGTAATTGTTTTATCTGTGATATCATCCGTTGCCACTACCCTGAGCTGATAATTTATATCTGGACTGTACCTGTAACCACTTGATTCTGTTCAGTCTAGTTTTTAAAGCACTCACTGTCAAAATGTTTTTTCCTTCTGCTCTTTGGAATTTCTATTTGTATTTTAGATGCATTTTCTTCAGCCTTTGACCATATTGTAGCAATTTTGTTTATCTTTTGACTCTTAACAAATTATCATGGGCTCTGGGTTAATACTTGTCATTCTTCAATGCACTTATGGTTTTAATGGTTCCTCTTTTTTTTTTTAGGTCAAAACAAACCTGCCACCTCTTATGAGAAAATCACAATCAACAAGAATTCTCGTGCAACTCTCAACAGCGTGAGGCACATCATCCGCAAGAGCAAGTACAGGAAAGACCTGCGCATGGTGAGTTTTAGCCTCTGATATGTGTCTGTTCTAAAAACCCCTGGACCGAAGCTGATGATTGTGATTGTTTTACAGGCTGCTCTGCGATGTGCCAGTGCGATTCTGAAAAGCCAGAAGCCGGTTGTTGTCAAAAAGAAGCGCACCAGAGCTGCAAAGACGGCATAAAGGCATAAATAAATCAAATAAAAGTTTGGAATATACTTGGTACTCTGGTCTTGTCTGTTTGTTCTAAAATGCAGTACTTTCAGAACATTACATTATTTATAATAAACTGTCAAGTTTAAAGAAAATATTAGATGAGCCTCAAATAGTTACTGAATCTTTTGTGGCAAACTATTAAATCTTTTGGGTTGTTTAGTTCAGTGGGACTTCAGCTAAACATTTTACTCATCTGTTTTTCACTTGTCAAAATTAAATTTCAAATGTGTAGCACGGCATTAGGTGAGATTAAGGAGATTTTCATGTTTTATTTAACCAAGCAAATCCCATTGCTTAAAAAAAAAAAAGGTAAGGTGGCATACACTGCAAGTTTCAGTAACTGCTATGAGGCAATGATATTTCAGATTAGGTCATTGTAAAGCAATTGGTTTTATGCAAAATTAACACAGGAAGAGCAAACCTATCAAAGCTCGTGGATCCAAATCAATCCTACAAAGTTGTGATGGAGGCTGAAGGATAAAGAATAGTAAGTACTGTTGACTGGTCTGTAATTGTGTGAAGTTCTGCCCATAAATTGCTGAAAATCCAGCCATTTGTGCAATTGCCGTAATTTGAAGTGAACATCTTAGCTCGCCCCACAGTGGGGAAATTCCAGAGTTGCTTTACACATTTCAGAACAGGAATGAGGAGCACACAAGATCAGATGAGTGTAAAGTATAGCACAACTCAATACTTAAAAATGTATCTGCAAGTGTTTCCTTTGTGTATATAATATTTATAATTTCGAATTATGTAAATGTAACTCAAGGTTATTTATGTTTTTTGATTTTTGACTTTTGTTTATTGTACACTTATTTGCTCGAAATAAACATGGCTAAAAAAAACAAAAAATCCAATCAAATCTCTCTTGGTACAGAAACACGTGAGTCTAGTCCACACCACGTCATGCTTGTCTTGTCACTGATGCAGAAACCTATTGATCCTGAATCCACAGCCCGCGTAGGAAACAGAACAACTCCCCCTGACCCTCGCAGAGATATTCCACCAATGTTGGCTGTGGTTATAACTACTAGAGCATGCCAGTTCATTTTTAACATACGTGTTTGTAATGTGGCTGCTCAGGCTGATCTGTGCTGTTCTGCTGGTGCCACGGAGCAGGACGTTTGAACTTCAGGACACGATTCACAAACTAATCGAGGAGAACATCCATCTTCACGATCAGCTGGAGAACCTGACGCAAGCTCTGAAGCAGCTCAAGAGGATGCTGCTCCACCACTCCAACGGTACACTTCATATCTCACAAATTTAACATCTAATGAGCATGCAAAAACCCTGACTTTGTTTGGGATACTGCCTCTGTCTCATAATCACATAGATATTATTTACACATATACAGTGCTTCTCGAAAGTACTAAAACACCTGATCTGTGTCACAATAGAATAGAAAACGATAGAAAGACTGTAGTAAAGGCATGAAAACTGCTGTTCACAAACGCTCTCAGTCCAATCTGACAGAGCTCGAGTTGTTTTGTAGAGAAGAATGGGCTAAACTTTCCGTCTCTAGATGTGCAAATCTTGTAATCATGCCCCACAAGACTTGCTGTTGATACTGCGGCAAAACAGGGTTCCACAAAGTATTAGCCCATGCTGTATGAATACTTTTTTTGGTTTTCAATTTTTTGAAAAATACTTCAGTTGTCTGTTACTTGTGTATGAACTTTCGATAAACAAATTAAAATTACATCTTGATATTGATGGTTGTAAAGATGATAAATGTTCGAGCTGTGTTACTACTTTCCAAAAGCAATGCAAGACAAGTTTATTATGTGTCTATAAGTGTTCATACTGTAGTGGAAAATTACGATCAATTATATTAATAACATAAGAAATGGTAGAAATACTAAACTGAAACTCAACACAGAGACACTCCACACACCAGTCCACTGATGAGAAACCAGGTGTGTGGAGGAGGCTCTTAAGATAAATACTCTCCCTCCTTTCACCCTCCCCGAGTCTGGGAAAACTGCTTTGTTCTGGGCAGAAGAGTTTTAGCAGGTGCCCTCGGGGGTTTGACTTTGCTCTTCTCCACGCCTCGGTTCATTCTAAATTTGGCCATAACGATATACAGCTAAACAGAACTATTTTTAACCTGGATTCAAACATTGTCAGAGAAGAAGCCTGTCTCACATTTTCAAGAAGACTGTTCTAGATTTTATCAACAAAGATCTGAAACACTGTCTCCCCATGTTTAGTTCTGACTCTGGGACCAGTAGGAGGCCGGTCCCTGTGCTCCTCAGAGTCCCAGCAGGAGGCCAGTCCCTGTGCTCCTCAGAGTCCCAGCAGGAGGCCAGTCCCTGTGCTCCTCAGAGTTGGTTCATATGGAACTAACATCATGTCACAGGTGGTCTTTGGTGCGAGGCCCTGGAGAGACCTGTACAGATAAAGAGCTGCTTTAAAGTCTGAGCCACAGGAAACAGACTTGAGAAATGGACTAATACAGTACACTTTAAAGGAGCAGTATGTAAAAATCTGGCCAAAAGTGGTACTGCAACCTCTCCCACTCTCCCTGACTCAGGTTGCCAGATATGCAGACGAATCCAGCTGGGACCATAATATCTGACTGAAGAGTTTTGCTGAAAACAAATCTATAACCAACACTTTTTTCACAAAGATAGTAATCCTGGTTTTATTCCTTGTTTTGTTGATTTGAGAATCATAACAAGACCTTTTTTAGTTCTTCGCCACATGGTACTTTACCAGTGAGATTAACTTGACGCAATGAGTTCTGGCAACCCGGATTACAGACTTTCTGATTGGTGAAAAGGTGGAGGGTGGGACATCAAAATGAAAACAATAACAAGATTTAGGGGCTGTAAAACTAATTTTGAAATCCAAATATCTCTGAACTACTGTTATCAGTTAAAGAACTATTTGAAAAGAGCATATTTTATTGAAGCCTTTTGCCAGATTAGGGCCCTTTAATGATGACTTGACATGAAAATCTTACATACTGCTACTTTAAATAACGTAAACATTTGTGTTGCCTGCAGACCGGGGACATCATGACAACGAAATGCCTCACAACAAAAACATTCCGGAGGTTTGGGAGGAATGGTCTCGTCACGGTGAGTTCTTCTTCTACCACAACTTATTCAACACTAACAAAAACTTGCTTTTTCCTCATTTGCAGGAATCAGTGCAGAGACTCACATGTTTTTGGAGCAGGCTTTCTGTGGCCACGACCTCCACGGCTCGGCGCCACACGCACAAGTCCACGTCCTCCTTTTCACGCTCACACTGCTGCTTTTGTTCAGCTTTGACCAACTGTAGCTGATTAAACGATAGTATTGCATCTGTGATTTATTTTAGCATGGAGTAAAACAGCCTGGAGCTCATTATTGGCTTGCACTAGATTACACCAATCAAATTAGAGGAGAAATTACTGAACCGGAAAGTTGCTGGCTAATGTTTTCATGGCAGCTCACAGTTCACAGATCAAACCACTTTAGTCAAAAGCCGTTTTTCTATTTACAGAATCAGAAGTTTTGTGTTGTCATTGTAAGTTACAGGAAGTCAAAAAACTAGGAATTTGCTTTGGCTCTCGGCACAAATAGGCCAACATTTAAAAAATCTATTTAACATTTATCAAATTTACTACTATATACAAGTGCTCTAAGTACAAATCGACAAATCAAACACAAATCGTGCTAGTTCACTTTATTACAAAGCATGTTTCATTGAGTTGGTCCAAAACAGAAGTTGAAAATATTCTATAAAGAATCGTTTTAAATATTACAGTGACTGGATCCTTTACAATATTTAAATATGTTTAAACTTACTGGGGAATAACATACAGCAGATAATATATATATATGCTCATGTCAGATTAAATATTCACAAAACATGGAAAAACCTGTCGCTACGTGTGGTCACTGTACCTAAGACTACAGAAAAATCAAAACCCATGCAGTTAGCAGTGGTGGGGGAAATGTGTTCAGTATCGCGATATTTTGAACACAATTAAATCGATACAGTAGAGCAAAGTATTAAATAATTATCTGATTCACTTTTGTGTTTTCTCTGTGTTTACATCTGAGGTTTATGTTCCTCTGTCACGTCTGCTTTTTGTGACTCTGGTCTGTTGTATTTGAATAATGTAAATTAAGTGCTGGGAGCTCACCGTCATGTGAGAGTCGCCTTCAGAGAATAATGAAGTCTGTTTCTGCATAATTAAATGTGACACGTGAGTTGAACAGTCATTTTTTCCCCTACTTTTTTGTAATTCCTTTGAATCGCGATATATCACAGAATCGAAACGCAATGCTTACTGTATCGTGACATCTTATGAATCGCATTAATATTGAATTGTGGCCCAAATATCTCAATACTATGGAGTCGTCACATTTTCTCCAGTTCCCACCACTAGCAGAAAGTACAGATGGTTCTAGTCTATATCGAGGTCGGAGTCGTCGTCGCTCTGGACCGTCTGTACGATGGCGCCGTTGCGGATGGTGGAGATGGAGGACGACTTCTCTGGGAGCAGGCCGTACTCCTGCAGTAACGCCTCCAAGTCCATGGCAAAGAAGTCGTCCCCGAGCTGGTCTGTGAGCCGCACGAAGTTGCCGATGAGGTCCCCCGCTTTGTAGACGAGCAGCGCGGGGAGGGCGGAGTCTCTGAACATGGCACTGGTGCTGATGGCCGAGCTGCGGACGCTGCAGAACTTGACCAGAGGATATTCCTGAGCCAGACACATGAGGCTGCCGCTCATGGCCTCGCAGCCCGCGATGTTGGCCTCGTAGATGTGGATCATGACCAGCGTGCTCTTGTCCTCTTTGTCCAGAGCCTCCAGGAAGTCCTCTCCGTTGTTGAGCTCGTAGACCTGAGCGAAGCGCTTCCCTCGACAGAACTGTTTCTTCATCTCCTCGATGCGCTGCATGCGATACCTCTGCAGGAAGTCCTCGTCGTCCTGCTCCTCCTGCAGCATGTTGTACTCCTGCATCGTCATCTGAGGACGCCATAACATTACACTGTAACTCTGGGACCACCAGAACTCCCAAAGCAGTTAACTTCTTATAAATAAACGACTTAATAAAACTGGTGAAAGACCAAGTAACCTTTAGTTACTTTAAATAAAGCAAAGTATAAAGCTAAAACTGAAATAAAAAAACTGAAATACAGAACCAGTTCAGGACCAGCGCTTTGGCAATGAGGGGCTTTAACTGCCATTTTATTTTCATATTCAAATGACTGGAGCAGTCAAAATGACGGCCCTTGCAGTTAAAGACGGAAATACTCACATTTCAAAAATAAAAAGATCATTTGAGGAAAACAATGAATAATTTTAATAAACTACATAAAAGAATTCAAAAATTTACATGGGTGGAAAAATTATACTTTGTATATATTGGTGTGCTGGTGTTTGAATAAGTAATAAAGTATTTGTTCAATGAAAGATTCTGCATTTCCTCTTACCTTTCCTTTGATCTTATCTTGTAATTCCTTTTGTTTTTGTTTGTCTAATTCGTCATCCAAGTCCGAGCGACACGTCATAGATAGTTTCTTAATGAGTCTTTCCATTTCTTTTTTCTGTTCATTTTTCTGCTCCACCTCAAGCTGCTTGTACTTCCTCCAGTCATTGATCACTCCCTTTGGTCCTGGACACAAGAAACAGCCCAGAAGTTACTGACAAGTCCATAACCCTGACCAAACCCATCCACACACACAGAGAGACACAGACACACACACACACGCACACTGCTGATCATACCCTAACCCTGACCTGTGTTCACTGATGTCCCGTCCGCGCTGTAGTCCAGCTCCGGCTTGGCCACGTTAGCCTCACGGATGGTTTTCCCTTCTCCGTCGTCCTCCTCGTTGTCACTTCCCTCATCTTCACTGCTGCTGTAGTAATACTGCAGCTTCTCTCCCAGGATCTTGTCGTCCAAAGTCGTCATGACGACAGCAGCAGCAGCAGCAACTCACTGATGGGAACAGAGAAGTGTGTTCAGAGTCTGACTTAAATGAACAGATGCCTTTTTATGATCTCCAATTGTTCATAAAAGCGAGATTAGCAACATATTGAGGTCACTTGGCTTTGAGAGAAAGTGTGTCAATGTGAATATAAACACTCAGACGCATTATGGAGCACTGGACCATTAGCAATCAGGATCTGAGCCCCCCCTCCCCCCCTGCCCCCCTGCCCCCCTGCCCGCCTCATCAGTCCTGTCTGACAGCCTGGGTCTACAGCCTCGGTCCTGGGTCTACTGCCCGGGTCCTGGGTCTTCATCCACGGTCCTGGGTCTACAGCCTCGGTCCTGGGTCTACTGCCCGGGTCCTGGGTCTACAGCCTCGGTCCTGGGTCTTCATCCACGGTCCTGGGTCTTCATCCACGGTCCTGGGTCTACAGCCTCGGTCCTGGGTCTACTGCCCGGGTCCTGGATCTACAGCCTCGGTCCTGGGGTCCACAGCCTCTGTCCTGTACTGTTTTAAGCCAATACAAGGTCTAAGGACAGTGATGCACATTTCTGCACATGCACTATAACATCATGCCGCTCCCCTCTGGTGTTTGTTATTGTTGCATTTTCTGTGTTCTATTCTCTATTTAGCGTTTGTTGCTCTGATCTGTTGTTGGCAAATCAACAAATTTGTAAAGAGACGACTGCTGTTGTGATATAGGGCTGAACAAAAATAAATGATTACATTGATTTGAACCTGTACTACTGTTTATATAGGCCTAACGCAAAGAAACAAACCACACCAACATTTATAAATAATCTACTTTCATTTGAGACAAGTCTGGCTTCACTGTCTTTAACCATCAAACAATAAATAAAAACTAACCCGGGGGTTCGGCAGCATTAACACTAAACAGATTAAACACGATTAGCTTTAGCTTCCGCTGCTAACGCTAACAGTGGAACAATGTTTACCTCCGCCAGCAGAATACTCTTCACAGCTCGTTCAGTCCGCAGTGGTGGACCATACACGGATTATATTGTATTATATGATCATGAAACTGCAATATCTGCTGAGGATCTATTATATTATCTGCTCAGGCTGCGGAACTGCTTCTCACTTTATGACAGATACAGAAGCAGAAGTGGCTACGTCGCCCCCTACTGGACACAATTATCCCTACAACACACAGAAAGAATGTACCAGACTGTATAAAATAATAATAATAATAATAATAGTAATGATAATGATAATGATAATGATAATGATAATGATAATGATAATGATAATGATAATAATGATAATAATAATAAAACTTTATTTAAAAGCGCTGTCCAAATCACCCAAGGGCACTGTACATGGTTATAAAAAAACAGAATTTCAAACAATTAAGACAACAGAACTGGACGAAGGTGTTGGGGCGGGGACCGGTCATGTGCAGGGGAAAAAAGTATGAAAAAGTGAGTTTTGAGGCGGGATTTGAACAGGGGAAGAGAGTCAGTATTTCGGAGGTCAGGGTGCATGGATCTAGGTCAGGGGGGAGTGATTTTCAGAGCGGGGGGAGCAGAGCGATATATATCCCAATATTATTATAGATCCATATATATATCGCATGGAAGCTTTGTAGCCTGCCCTGTACTAACATCCATCCATTTAATTTCATCTCCTTAGTCCATTTCTGGGTCGTGGCAATCAGAGCACCCAATTCACATAGAACCAGCCCCTCACTGATTCTCCTGCAGGTGGCGAGTCCACAGTTTCTCTGTCAGTTCAGTGGGTGCATCAAGAGGAGTAAAGTGTCTTGCCCAGGGACACAACAATAGCAGCTATCAGTGGAAGTAGAGAGGTCTCGTAGGGGGATTGAACCCACAACTGTCATGACAACATGCCATGGCCCACAGGTTGAAAAACACTGATATATATGGCCTATGCTCTATCTATATGGTCTCATACTGACTAGAGTATTTTGTTTTATGGTGAAGTCTGTTCCAAAATCATCATGACACGATAGACAGGGCACATTTTGCTTTATTAATGTTCAACAACAACAAAATATAATACACTCAATTTGAGGCACATAAAAAGTCCATTATTGTGGCTCAAGCTGACATCAAATTAAAAAGAAACCAGGACATGTTTTCAAACTAATTCAACAGTCTTCATCAGTGCAACATCCAACGTCTCAACTTCAATATTATTTCTTTGGTGACACTTTAATGCAGATAATCATTTAAAAAACAGCATGTTTAGACTCATTAGGCGCCTACAAGAACAATAACATTCACCTTAACCTTAATGTAGAATCGGGTCGTTTCCCCCTGGACACTTATCTCACAGAAAAGCATTGAATGTATTGTACCATGCAGAAAATTGAGAACTTGTTGACAAAATATGACTAAAAACGTATTATTTAAATGACGTCACACCATGAAGACAGTCTAGTACCTTGCAATGTTTTGAAATACATTTATAACGGACTCACTACCAAGTCTTGAACCGTAGCACATTTTCTTGGTCCATTAATTGCGAATAATAAAATAATAATAATAACCTTCTCATAATAGAAAGTGTATTTGAATGGCATTTGTTTGTTTTATTCAAGATTATGTTAAAATATACTTTTCCTCATCCATGTTTAATGTCCCTATGAAAAGCCACCCTTTAACACAAAGAAATTTCCCGGTTAATTCCATGAAATTACCAGGAAAGTCTCCATCTTTGAAAAATCACGGGAGTTTGCTTTTTGCACCAGTGTATGTGTAAACCAGTGTGTAAACAGTGGGTTGTTTTAATCCATTGAGAAACATGAAAAACCGTCTATCATAGCTCCTCCTTTCCCCTTTTTTTCTCTCGTTGTAATTCTTCTTCCGTCGGGACTCTGAACGCCACATAGGGACACGTTTTGGTGTTCAAACAGACCAACCTCTTCAACGTTGCAGAATTTACCAAGTCAAACCCGACTTGGCCTCCAAAAGTGCTTGGTTTCCAGTAGAGCGGGGAGCAGATGGGGCTCCCCAACAGTCCCTTGAGGGAGAAGGGCGCTCCCATCTCCACCATGCTCTCTCCGAAGATCGCACCTGGACGCGTCTTCTCCAATAACAGACCAGGATAGAACTCGAGGGCGTCAATGTCACCGTGATAAAACTCTTCAAGTTGACTGGCCATTTCCTCATTATCTGCAAAGTGAAGACATCATTAAATTGCAGTGAGAGAGAGATTTCTGTTGGTTTAGGGTTAGAAATGTGTATTTTTATGAGCTATTCTTGTAACCCGGGACGTTTTTTTGACTCTAACGGGGAATTTAGACAGTAGGCGTAAACAGCGCGTACGCGTTTACTGCGCGCTCTCTGCGCGTAACATTTTTTTGGAGTATCTACACAGGCCGTGCGCGCAGGTCCGCGTCTTCTGATGCTCTCCCTGTGTAGTCTATGGAGCAGTGTAGAGGACAGTACGGGCCAGAGGACTGATGTAGAGCAACACAAATCACATGCATGTGTTTGTCTTCATGGTCTCTGTGCGCTGGTTTGGCCAGACGCGAGACTTTATGAAAGAAAAAAAAAAACGATGTCCAGAATCACTGTAAAACCTGCTGCTCCTCCTGCTGATGTTTAGACACAAGTGCTGTGTGTGTGCAGATGTGATCTAAAGCCAAGGGCCGCTAGAAAAATCCTGTTTTACATGAGATTTTAATGGGAGACGCGTTGGTGCGCGCACAAAATTAGAAATCCATCCTAAATTAGAGCGCAGCTTCGCGTCATACGTCCGTCATACACACGTATAACGCTAGAAGTGTAAATATCATCATAGGTTAACATGGAAAAAAGTTACGCGCGTCTGCTGCGCGTATAACGCGTACGTGCTGTAACGCGTGATGTGTAAATTAGCAGTAAGACGTTTCCTCAGGACCTGGAGGAGGATTAAATAGTAACTTGGGGAATAGTTTATTAGTTTATCCACTTGAATTAATCATTTTTCCTTTTTGTGTGAATGTGTTTGTGTGTGAGGGTCTGTTTGTCTATGTTTTATATTTGTATTTACTTTAGTTATTTATTTTTTGTTCCTGTTTTATTCCATGGCCCTTCTATGGTGGGGTGTAGTTGCTCACTGGGGTGGATGCTGTATGTCTAATGATGTTAAAATGTTCAATTAATTAATTTGAAAAAGAAAAAAAATGGAGAAATATTCATCTTACCACTAAACTCTCTAAACGACGTATATGGCTTCAAATTAAATCTTTTCCTGTACTCATTGAACGGCTGTATACGCAGAAGTCTCGACGCTTCTATCGTATTCACGGCGACAGAGAGAAGTACAGAGTGCATGTTAAAACCACCTCCAATCTGAAAAACAAACACACAATTATAATATTTTGGGTATTCTGACATGACAGCCATCTTCGCTAGCTTGTACCTGGCCTGCGTTTTGTCGGGAAAACGAATCCACCATCTTCTCTATTCCATAATGAGAGACAATACTGGTGTTAAAGATGAATCTTTCGTATGTCAATGTGTCTCCGTCGATGTCGATCGTGTCTGGCATCAACGGGTGCCAGTGGTACAAGTGCACAAACTCCAGAGCGATCCGGTTGCCGTATTGGAAGGGTGTGTTGTGAAGCATGACCGGGTCAAACTTCAGCTGCATATGGTACCCACTGAGCTGCTGGACGTACTCTTCTATAACTATTCGAATCGTTTCACCTTCAAAACAAACGGGTTAGTCTGAAAATAGCATTGCGAAAATTCAGTTTCACACTCAACTAACCAATTATGATAAATCGTGCGGTTTGGAAAAGTTGCTCGTCGTCCCAGTGTGGATGTAGAGGCCTCAGAATGTCACAGACCCGGTTGTGCTCTCTCAGCCAAATGGTGCCGTACATCCCCAAACCAGGAAGAAGCCCGAAAAGCTCGTTACCAAAGACCAGCTGCTGGTGGAGTGGAGTGTGGGGAGGGTAGTTCATTGTCACTGGGACTTCCTCAACGGTGGGAGGGTACATTTCACCATCTATGAGCTGCAGAAATCACGTTATTATTGTATTATTATTGTTATTATTAAGTCCACTGAATGTAGCTGTCTACTGTCATACCCAATATGTATATAACTTTAAGATAAGATAAACTTTATTAATCTCACAATGGAGAAATGTACATGTGTCATTTGGAATACATAAAATCACTGAGGGTGTGCAAAAAGACAGGAAGTGTGCAAGCATGTTGAAAATATTAAAATATAGTCTCTTTTGTGCAAGATAATTATGCACAATACAAAATGAAAAGTGACTATAGCAGTGTGAGTTTTTCAGTCCTAGTGCAGGTCATGATTGCATGACTTATTGTACAGTCTGACAGCGGTGGGGTACACAATATCTAGATAGATAGAGATATATTGATACACAAAGCAGCTACTTGTATTGTATATGTTGTGTGCTCCCTGTGTGCTCTTACTACTGTCCTGTAGATAGATTGATCATTTTTGTTATAGTGTCGTGCAGACAAGGTTTCCCTTATAAGGCACCACAGGCCAACGTCAGGCACATAAACATACTCAAACACAAATGCTCTCATTTCAGTAAATGAGTCTGCCGCTTCTTCCAAGCTCTACATGAAAATGAAGAAAAACACTTCCAGACTTCCAAATAAAAATCCCTGAACCAAACCATATCAGGATCCTGGGTGAACGCTTCATGAATCTAATTCAATCGTAAAAAAGACAATATAACAAAAAATGCACTTCAGTTTCCACTTAGTGTGTACACAAAGTACACACAGTCTCTGTTCCTCAGGGGTCTGTGAAAAACCTGTTTCTAAAGCGATTGGAAGAATTCTGGTACGTAACTGTACCATCAAAGATCTCTGATTCCTGGACAGATTTTCTGTGACGTAAAACTCTGGTTTGAAATAGTCTTTGAACTGAATATATGTTCCTGTATGTGCGCTGCAACATTGAAATTTCCCCACTGTGGGATGAATAAAAGGTTCTATTATCTCCTCTTATCTTATTAAGGGAAAACACACACACACACACACACACACGTCCCTAAATGACTGTCTATGGTTATGAAGCAGCCGTACCTGGTATTTGAGTTTTCCATCCTTGAGGAGCCTGAGCTGCATCTGTCGTTCTAAATTGTCTCCATAAATGTGTCCAGCATCGACCTAAAGGGGGAATTAAAAGGTAATAAACTTAAAATAGAACATCAGTAAATGGATAAGACAAATATACAAAGCTGGAACGCCACTCACGCCGTGCCCTAAGGCCTTCGTGAAGCCGGGACCCAAGCGGTTTGCGGTCTTGAAAAACTGGTGTGTAAAGTGTTGTGCAAAGAATGCAAACATTAAGTTAGATCCTTGTGGGTCTTTCCTGAAAGTTTTCCTCTTAAACAATTTCTCAACCATCAGCCCAGGGTCCGGAAGCCCAGCGGCACCTAAATAGATGCATAAAATACACATTCTAAAATGGCTTTAATAATTACTGTGATCTACTCATGGACAAAAGCAGTGGAGGTTAAAGAGTAAAAGAGTTCAGTGAACGATGGCAAGTACCGTTTTATTATAAATCAGCGTTTTTGTCTTAGTTTGGCCGGGGGTGCAACCTAAGTGTGAAATGGTTACAAATCATATTGATTTTTTTGTTAAGTTGAGCGATTAAGCTATTAAGAAGAGCCATACGTGTAACCTTTGACCTCCCACCAGTGACGTTTTAAATTTTCAATCAGTCTACTATTTGTGTTAGCAAATGTATTTTGGTCATCAAAACCCACAGGCTGAATAAAAATGTGACTTATTTATGTTTTTTTCCTTCTTTATTATGCATAATTGGCTGGTGCGATTTACTATCCGGAGTGACTTATATTGAAAACAAATACAGTAGTAAGAATATATTTACATTTGTTGATACATGACAAAATACATGTGCGATATAGAACCACATGTGTTCCTGTCTCTGTGTCCCAGACCCTCTACAGACTCTGTACGGATGTAAACATACAACTAGACATGTCTGCGCTAAATTACACAGTATCTTATATTTGCTTATTTATTAAGATAAAGCCAGAGATTTTGTTCTTAATTCTTTCTTTTTAATTATTATAGATTATAGACTGCCTCCTTATTATTCTTTAGAATAGAGCACTGTTCATTTATCTTATCCTGTGCCGTGTGCTCCTCCTACTGTTCTGTAACTGGCGATGCAACACTGACATTTCCCCACAGTGGGACAAGTAAACTCCCCCTTGGACTGCCACCTTAACGTGGTGGGGGAGTTTGAGCACTCGAATGATCCTGGGAGCTATGCTGTCTGGGGCTTCATGCCCCTGGTAGGGCCTCCCATGGCAGACAGGTCTCAAGTGACGAGTCAGACAAAGCGCAGTCCGAAGCCAACCATGGACAGCACGACAACAAAAACCGTGACGTCGCCCGGCATGGCGCAGCCGGGGCCCCACCCTGGAGCCAGGCCTGGGGTCGGGGCTCGCAAGCGAGCGCCTGGTGGCCGGGCCTTAGCCACGGGGCCCGGCCGGGCTCAGCCCGAAGGGATGACGTGGGCAGTCCCTCCTGTGGGCCCACCACCTGCAGAGGGGTCCGTGGTGGCGTGGTGCAGCGAGGACTGGGCAGCGGTCGAAGGCGGAGACCTCGACGACCCAGTCCACACACCCAACATCTGGCTGTTGGGACGTGGAACGTCACCTCACTGGGGGGGAAGGAGCCCGAGCTTGTGGGGGAGGTTGAGCGATACCGACTAGAGATAGTCGGCCTCACCTCCACACACAGCTTGGACTCTGGAACCCAACTCCTTGAGAGGGGTTGGACGCTCCACTTTTCTGGTGTTTCCCACGGGGAGAGGCGGCGAGCTGGGGTGGCCATACTCATTGCCCCCCATCTCAGCCGCCACGTGTTGGAGTTCTCCCCGGTGAATGAGAGGGTCGCGTCCCTCCGCCTCCGGGTGGGGGACAAGTCTCTCACTGTTGTGACGGCCTACGGGCCTAACGGTAGTGCAGAGTACCCGGCCTTCTTGGAGTCCTTGGGAGGGGTACTGGACAGTGCACCGCCCGGGGACTCCGTTATTCTCCTGGGGGACTTCAACGCCCATGTGGGAAATGCCAGTGACACTTGGAGAGGGGTGATCGGGAAGAGCGGCCCCCCTGATCTGAACCCGAGCGGTGTTCAGTTGTTGGACTTCTGTGCCAGTCACGGCCTGTCCATCACGAACACCATGTTCGAGCACAAGGGTGTCCACCAGTGCACGTGGCACCAGGACACCCTAGGCCGGAGGTCGATGATCGACTTTGTTGTCGTATCATCTGACCTTCGACCGCGTGTCTCGGACACTCGGGTAAAGAGAGGGGCGGAGCTGTCAACCGATCATCACCTGGTCGTGAGTTGGATCCGCTGGCAGGGCAGGAGGCCGGTCAGACCTGGCAGGCCCAAGCGTGTAGTGAGGGTTTGCTGGGAACGTCTTGGTGAGCCCCCTGTCAGACGGACTTTCAACTCACACCTCCGGGAGAGCTTCTCCCAGGTCCCGGCTGAGGAGGGGGACGACGAGTCCGAGTGGACCATGTTCTCTTCCTCTATTGCCAATGCGGCGGCTCGTAGCTGTGGTCGCAAGGTCTCTGGTGCTGGTCCCGGCGGCAATCCCCGAACCCGGTGGTGGACACCGGCAGTAAGGGATGCCGTCAGGCTGAAGAAGGAGTCCTATCGAGCAATGATGGTTCGTGGGACTCCTGAGGCAGCTGTCCAGTACCGGCAGGCCAAACGTGCCGCGGCCCGGGCTGTTGCAGAGGCAAAAACCCGGGACTGGGAGGAGTTCGGAGAGTCCATGGAGCATGACTATCGGTCGGCCTCGAAGAGGTTCTGGCAAACCGTCCGGCGCCTCAGGAGGGGGAAGCAGTTCTTTGCCAACACCGTGTATGGTGCGGGTGGAGGGCTGCTGACCTCGACTGAGGATATTGTCGGGCGGTGGAAGGAATACTTCGAGGTTCTCCTCAATCCCCCCGTCACGTCCTCCGTTCAGGAGGCAGAGGCTGAGGATGTTGGGGCGGACACTTCCATCTCCCTGGCCGAGGTCACCAAGGTGGTTGGCAGCCTCCATGGTGGCAAGGCTCCGGGAGTGGATGAGATCCGTCCTGACTATCTAAAGTCTCTGGATGTTGTAGGACTGTCTTGGCTGACACGTCTCTGCAACATCGCGTGGCGATCGGGGGCAGTGCCAATGGAGTGGCAGACCGCGGTGGTGGTCCCTCTCTACAAGAAGGGGGACCGGAGGGTGTGTTCCAATTATCGTGGGATCACACTCCTCAGCCTCCCCGGTAAGGTCTACTCCAAGGTACTGAAGAGGAGGCTACGCCCGATGGTCGAATCTCGGATTCAGGAGGAGCAGTGTGGTTTTCGTCCCGGTCGCGGAACACTGGACCAGCTCTATACTCTCCATCGGATACTCGAGGGTTCATGGGAGTTCGCCCAACCTGTCCACATGTGCTTTGTGGATTTGGAGAAGGCGTTCGACCGTGTTCCCCGGGGTGTCCTTTGGGGGGTCCTCCGGGAGTACGGGGTCCGGGGTCCTCTGCTGAGGGCCGTCTGGTCCCTGTATGACCGGAGCCAGAGCTGTGTTCGCATTGCCGGCAGTAAGTCAGACCTGTTCCCGGTGCATGTTGGCCTCCGCCAAGGCTGCCCTTTGTCACCGGTTCTGTTCACTGTATTTATGGACAGAATTTCTAGGCGCAGCCAGGGGCCGGAGGGGGTCCGGTTCGGGAACCACAGGATTTCATCTCTACTTTTTGCGGATGATGTCGTCCTGTTGGCTCCAACGAACCAGGACCTGCAGCATGCACTGGGACGGTTTGCAGCCGAGCGCGAAGCGGCTGGGATGAGAATCAGCACCTCCAAATCCGAGGCCATGGTGCTCGACCGGAAAAAGGTGCCTTGCCCTCTCCAGGTGGGTGGAGAGGTCCTTCCTCAAGTGGAGGAGTTCAAGTATCTCGGGGTCTTGTTCACGAGTGAGGGAAGAATGGAGCGTGAGATTGACAGGCGGATCGGTGCAGCGTGCGCAGTGATGCGGTCTCTGTATCGGACCGTTGTGGTAAAGAGGTCAATTTACCGGTCAATCTTCGTTCCCTCCCTCACCTATGGTCATGAGCTTTGGGTAATGACCGAAAGAACGAGATCGCGGATACAAGCGGTCGAAATGAGCTTCCTCCGCAGAGTGGCTGGGCGCTCCCTTAGAGATAGGGTGAGGAGCTCAGTCACACGGGAGGAGCTCGGAGTAGAGCCGCTGCTTCTCCACGTCGAGAGGAACCCAGTTGAGGTGGCTCGGGCATCTGTTCAGGATGCCTCCTGGACGCCTCCCTGGGGAGGTGTTCCGGGCACGTCCCACCGGGAGGAGGCCCCGGGGAAGACCCAGGACACGCTGGAGGGACTATGTCTCTCAGCTGGCCTGGGAACGCCTTGGGGTCCCCCCGGACGAGCTGGAGGAGGTGTGTGTGGATAGGGAAGTCTGGGCGTCTCTGCTTAGACTGCTGCCCCCGCGACCCGGCAACGGATAAAGCGGAAGAAAATGGATGGATGGATGGATCTTATATTTGCTTATTTATTAAGATAAAGCCAGAGATTTTGTTCTTAATTCTTTCTTTTTAATTATTATAGATTATAGACTGCCTTCTTATTATTCTTTAGAATAGAGCACTGTTCATTTATCTTATCCTGTGCCGTGTGCTCCTCCTACTGTTCTGTAACTGGCGATGCAACACTGACATTTCCCCACAGTGGGACAAGTAAACTCCCCCTTGGACTGCCACCTTAACGTGGTGGGGGAGTTTGAGCACTCGAATGATCCTGGGAGCTATGCTGTCTGGGGCTTCATGCCCCTGGTAGGGCCTCCCATGGCAGACAGGTCTCAAGTGACGAGTCAGACAAAGCGCAGTCCGAAGCCAACCATGGACAGCACGACAACAAAAACCGTGACGTCGCCCGGCATGGCGCAGCCGGGGCCCCACCCTGGAGCCAGGCCTGGGGTCGGGGCTCGCAAGCGAGCGCCTGGTGGCCGGGCCTTAGCCCACGGGGCCCGGCCGGGCTCAGCCCGAAGGGATGACGTGGGCAGTCCCTCCTGTGGGCCCACCACCTGCAGAGGGGTCCGTGGTGGCGTGGTGCAGCGAGGACTGGGCAGCGGTCGAAGGCGGAGACCTCGACGACCCAGTCCGCACACCCAACATCTGGCTGTTGGGACGTGGAACGTCACCTCACTGGGGGGGAAGGAGCCCGAGCTTGTGGGGGAGGTTGAGCGATACCGACTAGAGATAGTCGGCCTCACCTCCACACACAGCTTGGACTCTGGAACCCAACTCCTTGAGAGGGGTTGGACGCTCCACTTTTCTGGTGTTTCCCACGGGGAGAGGCGGCGAGCTGGGGTGGCCATACTCATTGCCCCCCATCTCAGCCGCCACGTGTTGGAGTTCTCCCCGGTGAATGAGAGGGTCGCGTCCCTCCGCCTCCGGGTGGGGGACAAGTCTCTCACTGTTGTGACGGCCTACGGGCCTAACGGTAGTGCAGAGTACCCGGCCTTCTTGGAGTCCTTGGGAGGGGTACTGGACAGTGCACCGCCCGGGGACTCCGTTATTCTCCTGGGGGACTTCAACGCCCATGTGGGAAATGCCAGTGACACTTGGAGAGGGGTGATCGGGAAGAGCGGCCCCCCTGATCTGAACCCGAGCGGTGTTCAGTTGTTGGACTTCTGTGCCAGTCACGGCCTGTCCATCACGAACACCATGTTCGAGCACAAGGGTGTCCACCAGTGCACGTGGCACCAGGACACCCTAGGCCGGAGGTCGATGATCGACTTTGTTGTCGTATCATCTGACCTTCGACCGCGTGTCTCGGACACTCGGGTAAAGAGAGGGGCGGAGCTGTCAACCGATCATCACCTGGTCGTGAGTTGGATCCGCTGGCAGGGCAGGAGGCCGGTCAGACCTGGCAGGCCCAAGCGTGTAGTGAGGGTTTGCTGGGAACGTCTTGGTGAGCCCCCTGTCAGACGGACTTTCAACTCACACCTCCGGGAGAGCTTCTCCCAGGTCCCGGCTGAGGAGGGGGACGACGAGTCCGAGTGGACCATGTTCTCTTCCTCTATTGCCAATGCGGCGGCTCGTAGCTGTGGTCGCAAGGTCTCTGGTGCTGGTCCCGGCGGCAATCCCCGAACCCGGTGGTGGACACCGGCAGTAAGGGATGCCGTCAGGCTGAAGAAGGAGTCCTATCGAGCAATGATGGTTCGTGGGACTCCTGAGGCAGCTGTCCAGTACCGGCAGGCCAAACGTGCCGCGGCCCGGGCTGTTGCAGAGGCAAAAACCCGGGACTGGGAGGAGTTCGGAGAGTCCATGGAGCATGACTATCGGTCGGCCTCGAAGAGGTTCTGGCAAACCGTCCGGCGCCTCAGGAGGGGGAAGCAGTTCTTTGCCAACACCGTGTATGGTGCGGGTGGAGGGCTGCTGACCTCGACTGAGGATATTGTCGGGCGGTGGAAGGAATACTTCGAGGTTCTCCTCAATCCCCCCGTCACGTCCTCCGTTCAGGAGGCAGAGGCTGAGGATGTTGGGGCGGACACTTCCATCTCCCTGGCCGAGGTCACCAAGGTGGTTGGCAGCCTCCATGGTGGCAAGGCGCCGGGAGTGGATGAGATCCGTCCTGACTATCTAAAGTCTCTGGATGTTGTAGGACTGTCTTGGCTGACACGTCTCTGCAACATCGCGTGGCGATCGGGGGCAGTGCCAATGGAGTGGCAGACCGGGGTGGTGGTCCCTCTCTACAAGAAGGGGGACCGGAGGGTGTGTTCCAATTATCGTGGGATCACACTCCTCAGCCTCCCCGGTAAGGTCTACTCCAAGGTACTGAAGAGGAGGCTACGCCCGATGGTCGAATCTCGGATTCAGGAGGAGCAGTGTGGTTTTCGTCCCGGTCGCGGAACACTGGACCAGCTCTATACTCTCCATCGGATACTCGAGGGTTCATGGGAGTTCGCCCAACCTGTCCACATGTGCTTTGTGGATTTGGAGAAGGCGTTCGACTGTGTTCCCCGGGGTGTCCTTTGGGGGGTCCTCCGGGAGTACGGGGTCCTCTGCTGAGGGCCGTCTGGTCCCTGTATGACCGGAGCCAGAGCTGTGTTCGCATTGCCGGCAGTAAGTCAGACCTGTTCCCGGTGCATGTTGGCCTCCGCCAAGGCTGCCCTTTGTCACCGGTTCTGTTCACTGTATTTATGGACAGAATTTCTAGGCGCAGCCAGGGGCCGGAGGGGGTCCGGTTCGGGAACCACAGGATTTCATTCTACTTTTTGCGGATGATGTCGTCCTGTTGGCTCCAACGAACCAGGACCTGCAGCATGCACTGGGACGGTTTGCAGCCGAGTGCGAAGCGGCTGGGATGAGAATCAGCACCTCCAAATCCGAGGCCATGGTGCTCGACCGGAAAAAGGTGCCTTGCCCTCTCCAGGTGGGTGGAGAGGTCCTTCCTCAAGTGGAGGAGTTCAAGTATCTCGGGGTCTTGTTCACGAGTGAGGGAAGAATGGAGCGTGAGATTGACAGGCGGATCGGTGCAGCGTGCGCAGTGATGCGGTCTCTGTATCGGACCGTTGTGGTAAAGAGGTCAATTTACCGGTCAATCTTCGTTCCCTCCCTCACCTATGGTCATGAGCTTTGGGTAATGACCGAAAGAACGAGATCGCGGATACAAGCGGTCGAAATGAGCTTCCTCCGCAGAGTGGCTGGGCGCTCCCTTAGAGATAGGGTGAGGAGCTCAGTCACACGGGAGGAGCTCGGAGTAGAGCCGCTGCTTCTCCACGTCGAGAGGAACCAGTTGAGGTGGCTCGGGCATCTGTTCAGGATGCCTCCTGGACGCCTCCCTGGGGAGGTGTTCCGGGCACGTCCCACCGGGAGGAGGCCCCGGGGAAGACCCAGGACACGCTGGAGGGACTATGTCTCTCAGCTGGCCTGGGAACGCCTTGGGGTCCCCCCGGACGAGCTGGAGGAGGTGTGTGTGGATAGGGAAGTCTGGGCGTCTCTGCTTAGACTGCTGCCCCCGCGACCCGGCAACGGATAAAGCGGAAGAAAATGGATGGATGGATGGATCTTATATTTGCTTATTTATTAAGATAAAGCCAGAGATTTTGTTCTTAATTCTTTCTTTTTAATTATTATAGATTATAGACTGCCTCCTTATTATTCTTTAGAATAGAGCACTGTTCATTTATCTTATCCTGTGCCGTGTGCTCCTCCTACTGTTCTGTAACTGGCGATGCAACACTGACATTTCCCCACAGTGGGACAAGTAAACAATCTCTTAATCTTAATCTTAAAATATAGAACATTTACTTCATGCACGAAACAACTTGCTAATAAAAGTTTAAATTCCAACAGATACAAAAGAAGAAAAATGACTTCGAACCACACGATTCAGGGATGAAAGCAAATACGTCGATGTTTATTTACGATGCCTGTTTAAGACTAAAATGACGGAGATCAACGATGACCTCACCTCTGACCCCGAGGGGCGTAGGACAATCCAGCGGCACAGGAGGCATGAGACGAGTGTAGTAGCTCAGATTGTGGTAGGATTCCCAGGAGAGGTAGCTGTATTTGGAGTTGTATGTCGGGGGGCTGGGTACGAAGTTGGATCTGACTGATGGACAAAAAAAAGGCAGATTCTTAAGTGACTGTTGCAAAGATGGAAAACCAAATATCTGTGTTTGGACCTGTTAGGACGAGACGCATGAGAAAATCCCTCAGAGAAGTGCTGTTGACGATGTCCCAGAGCCAGCTGAAGTGGGTGAGGAGGAAGTGCAAGGCCTCGGGGCGCGGCCGGAGGAATTGTCGCACTCTGGTCCAAAATGCAGCTGTGAGAAATAAAAGCCAAGTTAGATTAGGTTAGGGTGCCTGACTATGTTGTTGTGAGCGCTCTGTAAGCAGCAGATCGTGAAGAATCTTTATTTATATACCGCCTTTCACAGACCAGAGTCACAAAACGCTTTACTATTGTTATTTTTGGGCATTTGTCTCTCACTCCACACAGACATGGGAGTGAGGTCACCAGTACAGGAAAACCTATTGTGCACCTGGAGCACCTGGAGGAAACCTACGCTGACACACGGAGAAGATACAAACTCCACTCTGAAAAACCCTGTTCCGACCGGGATTCGAACCAGGACCTTCTTGCTGAGAACGAGCAACTGAGGAGTGACATGTTGCACCATATTGTAAAACCAATCGTCACTTAAAATCTTTTGTCCCAACCGCTGTTTGACAAATGAACTCTCTGTAACTTGATGGGGATATGGACTTTGGTGTTGGAGCTTGGGGGAGGGGGCGGAATTTAACCTAATTCACAGAGCACTGATAGCTGCTCCACCAGTCTGTGCTGGTTGCCTCGCTTCTGATAGTGTGCCCCAGGGCAGCCGTGGCTACTGTACTCGTTTATCGCCACTGTGTATGGGGCGAAAGAATAAAAACATGTGAAGCGTCTTTGAGTGTCAAAAAAGCGCAGTATAAAACCAATGCATTATTATTATTACTCTCAAACCCCGCCCAGCACTTCCGACCATGGGCTTTGCTCCAGACCGATGGGAACGCAGCTATGGGTGTCCACTCCTATTTTACGCCCTATGCTCTCGTAACAAGTCATTCCTCCTGATCACAAAACATCTGGAAACAGTGGAAGCAGCATTGTCTTCATGCTCTCACACTATTATTCAACCTTTTAATGTTTCCCTCAAAGATTTGGTGGATCACTTTTTGAGTCACTATATTTACCAGGGACTGCATTTTACTGACCTGTATTTTAATAAACAATGTATTAAAAGTGTGTTATATGATTGTATTGTCAGGGAATACAAATGGAAAGTGGTGCGTTTTTTTTTTTATATGCACATTCTCCTTAATACATTAAACTTGAGAACTCTAAACTTGGAGCATGGAACTGAAATCTACTTCACTTCACTGTGGCATCTCTATTACTGCGTTTGAGGCAATTTCACCATCAATCTACATCTCAACAATTTGGTAAAAGCCTATAATCAAAACAAGGGGTTAAAAAACTTAAAAACTAATTATTTGTGTCCTTCTACATCTTAGAAAATCAAAAAAAAGCTAAAATTACACTGCGTTTTTCAAGGAATTATATTTTCATAGGATTATGGAAAGATGATAACAAAACAAAATGATTGCAGAGATGAATCAAATAGGTTTTTTTTCACATTTTGTGGAGCCAGAACTAAATAAAAGTAAGTATTCTATCTGTACAGCACCTTTCATAGACAGTACTGAGATAAAAGCGATTTGTGACTCTAAGTGTGGTCTATGCTTCTCGTTACAGTTGATTTACTACTGACAAAACCATTTACGGTTTAATGGCCCTGTGTGCGGAACTTGGGGAAACACACAATGCATAGAGAGTCTGATTGGGAATGAGCTTCCGGTAAAGTTATGCAATTCAGTAAGAATGCGTCCGCAGGTCCAGCTGGTCTCTTCCAATCCAGTTCTGTTCAAATATTTGGGTCTGGACAAGAGGACCTGACATTGCGACAGCCTCGAGCTGTGCTGCAAAATCCATCTTATGTTTTATACATCAAAATATTGCAGTGTTTTTCAGGAAATAACTGAGATGTTTTTCAGATGTTCCGGATAATGCTAAAAACAGACGGTGGAGAGGACACTTCTTTTGGCTTTTAAAACCAGGTAGAAAAAGACATGTTTTCGGTTTTTATGTGTATTTATATTTCTGTGTTTTTTTATATATATAATTGTCTTTATTTGCATAATTTCAAGGTCTGACAACTCATATGGCAGACGCCAATGACAATAAAATAAAACAAAAAGAAGCCCCAGCTACAGCCAAAAACAAAATTCTCTGAAACCAACAAAAATCATACAGGCATCAGTCAATTAAAAGGTAAGACAAAAGTAGATGGACAAACAAGAATATCTGACAGATACAGAGACAGATACAGAAACAGATACAGAGACAGAGACAAGACAGAGGCAGAGACAAGACACAGACAGAGACAGAGATACAGAGACAGAGACAAGACAGAGGCAGAGACAGAGATAGAGATAGAGACAAGACAGAGGCAGAGACAGAGACAGAGATACAGAGACAAGACAGAGGCAGAGACAGAGACAGAGACAGAGACAGAGATAGAGACAAGACAGAGGCAGAGACAGAGACAGAGACAGAGATAGAGACAGAGATAGAGACAAGACAGAGGCAGAGACAGAGACAGAGATAGAGACAGAGATAGAGACAAGACAGAGGCAGAGACAGAGACAGAGATACAGAGACAGAGACAAGACAGAGGCAGAGACAGAGACAGAGATACAGAGACAGAGACAAGACAGAGGCAGAGACAGAGACAGAGACAGAGATAGAGATAGAGACAGAGATAGAGACAAGACAGAGGCAGAGACAGAGACAGAGATACAGAGATAGAGACAAGACAGAGGCAGAGACAGAGACAAGTGTAGGGTGAGAAAATGTCGATATCACACATAACTTAAGTTATGTACCTGATATCGGAGAATTGAATTAAAAACAACCATGTAATAAATACAATAATTGATAATAGCTTTATTTAGGGGCACCAGGGAATAACTCCCAACTGATAACGTGCATATGACGTCACAATATCAATTAATTGGCTCATTTATTGATTAAGTAATCTCATGAGTCCTTTCATTATTTAATTAGCTAGTTAGTCCAATTCTCTTCAATAGAATCTGAAGGTAGTGAATTCTTTTACAAATCAGTGACCCAATTTCTGGAGTTAAAAGTACAAATATCACTTTCAGACAAAGATGGTTTTGTAGATTTAATGAAGTATACACAATACAGACTAGATATGAAATATGCAAATTGTCAAGAATAACATGAAGGAAACGTTGATTTCTAGATACATTGTTAAAATGCTAGGCTAAAGTGAGCTAAGCAAGACCTTTGTCTATGAATGGTTTTAATAAAGCCAACAACTGTGTGTAGCAAGAGAGCAGATCATACAACCAGAATAGCCTTGGGTGAATAGCAGTCCTTGGGTCTTGATGGTGTTGGATGGAGGCTTCTTGTCCACGGGGCCTGGACCATGCGGCTGTATCATGTGGCTGAACCAAGTCCTCCCACGATCCACAGTCTAGGTGCCAAAACTCAGCAACTTCTTCAGGTTGAAGCTGGAGGCTATTGAAGGGTTGTGGAAGTCCTCTCAAACGTGGAGCTGAGGTTTGAGGCCATCTAAGAGTGTATTCAGACCTGAAAAGTCCTTTGCTCCGCTTGCTTGATCCGAATCAAAAGCAGACCAAACTTTTTTCTTTTGCTCTGGTTCGTATTCAGACTGTCTTTTTTGCAAGTGAACTTTTTTATATAAACATATTGACACGTGTGACGATCGGCTCCTATTAGACAGCGAGAGCTCACGGAGGATAGACGCGGAACCAACAGAAAACATTGAGGGCTCGTATGTGCAGCATGTCTGCTCTGCCTATGTTTGCTCTTTTTAGAGCAAAACCACCTTCAACATCAACAGCAGCTCATATGACACAGGCCAAACACGTTGTTTTAAATATTGGAACAGCGTCGGAGAATGCGTGAGGAGAAAGCCGAAGGAGAGACTGTCTGTGCGCTCCGTGCCATGGATCTATTATAATAACGGTCCTGTTCAGCATTGTGGATAAACCATGGATCTATAATAACCACGGGACAAACAGACGCTGAGGATAAGGTAGGAACCAAAGAACACAATTCACTACATGATGCGGGATATTGCTCTTTGAGACGTGAGTCAAACAGTGTCAGGCTTTTAATAATGCAAATGGTTTGAAGATGCTGCCATTAACATCACTGTATACTGTGAACAGTTTTAACTCCATAAGCCTGTTGCACAGCGTCTCCTCACTGCTCCAGGTCTGCACACGGCTCATTGTTGTTGTGTAGCGTTAGCAGCATAGTTAGCAGCATAGTTAGCCGCTGAGACGCGTGGCTAATTCCTCAGTTTCTGTCTGTGGCTTGTTAAGCCCAAAAAATGCGCACGTATCTTGGAGTTGTGTTGGATCGACACCGGATGTATTCAGACCTGATTCGACTTGGAACAGAATTCGTTTGGAAGCGGACCGAGACCACCTCAAAAAGTGGGTCTCGGTTCGGTTCTTTGGTCTGGACCAGGATTCGTTTGTGTGTATTCAGACCTGCATAAAAGCTTCGGATCAGAGTTCCAAACGAATCCTGGTCCGTTTAAAGTGGAGCAAATGTGCAGGTCTGAATACACCCTAAGAGGCCCAAAGCCCCTTGGTTGCCTGAGCAGAGCCCAGGGCAGAGCCCAGGGAGGTCTGGTCACTCTGTGGTTCCAAAGCAGACTGGTTTGTCTTCCCTGTGGGTCCTTGTAAGTTTTCACATCTGGTAGAGTCGTTGGGGGAAGGGTGTTGCCATGGCACTTATCTTAAGACATTCTTACCCACAATAAAACCTGAACCACAAGGATTTACACACAGTGGAGACAGAAGTTATAATATGTCTCAATATACAACAAAATGTCTTTGATTGAGGAAAGAGGTCATTTTAATTTATCCTACACAAGACAGAGGCAGAGACAGAGATAGAGACAGAGACAGAGATAGAGACAGAGATACAGAGACAGAGACAGATACAGAGTCGGAGACAGAGACAGAGAAGACACAGACAGAGAGACAGAGGCAGAGACAAGACAGAGACGAGACAAGACAGAGAGACACAGACAGAGACAAGACAGAGAGAGAGAGACAGAGACACAGACACAGACAGAGACAAGACACAGACAAGACACAGACAGAGACAAGACACAGAGACAGAGACAGAGACAGATACAGAGATAGAGAGACAGAGACAGAGTCGGAGACAGAGACAGACAAGACAAGACAGAGAGACAGAGGCAGATACAGAGACAGAGACAAGACACACAGACAAGACGTAGACAGACACACAGACAAGACGTAGACAGAGACACAGACAGAGACAAGACAGAGACAAGACACAGACAAGACAGAGAGACAAAGACATTTCTGTGTTTTTATTGTTCTGCATTTTCCTGTCTGTACAGCACTTTAGCGACCCTTTAGGCTGTTTTAAAGGTCCTCTACACAGATCTGATTGATTGGATGGAGACTCACGGACAGTGCAGTTCTCTCCATGAAAGCCGGTGCCAACACAGTCGCATTCGTAGGTTTCCTCGGCATACCTCACACACACGCCCTGGTTCTGACAGGGAAAGTAGCAGCATGGGTTCACTGAGGAAACATAAACATGACTTGTAGATCATTCAGAAGAAACAATGGGTGTAATTGTGACGTCTGCATTTTTTGCATCATGGAATTACGACCCACAGCCTCGAGCATGGAAAGTAATGCCAAATATTGAAATATGTTTTAACCCATACAATGATTGAAAAATATCTTTTTAGGATTTTTCCATCTGTCGTTTAGACCCTATTAGACCCTAACTTTTAAATCACTGTGGCAGGTTATTTTGATCCAAGAGCAGCACAAGGGTTAAGTAAGTAAGTATTTTTCTAATTTATATACCGCATTTTACTGACCCAAGGAGCTGTTGTTGTTCAGAGTTCAGATATTTTTACTTTCTCTCCACACGGTGAGAGAAAGCCCCAACCAACACCATGCATTCACTCACTCATTACATTCAGACCTATAATACATGTTTTTAGTGGTAGGGGAAAAACCGGAGCACCTGGAGGAAACCTACGCAGACAAAAGGAGAACATGCAAACACCACAAAGAAAGGCCTGGAGGTGGAATCGAACCCAGGACCTTCTCGCTGTGATGTACAAGCGCTAACTGCTGCGCCACTGTGTATAAGGCAGAATTTGTGAGATTCCAGCCCAGACCACAGACGCTGCTCCTCCTCAGTCCCCTGCTCTTATTGGATGGAGCTGGTTCATTCGTGGTTATTGTGGTTTCAGTAACATGCAGCGGAAATCTGGAACAGTCTTCCTGAAAATGTGAGACAGGCTTCTTCTCTAACAATCTTTAAATTCAGGTAGAAGACGGTTCTGCTTGTCTGTGCATACAACTGAAGGATTTATCTCTACTCTTTTAAATGCATCGTTGTTAATTATCATCTTAATCCCTAGTGTGATTTGAATGTTCTGTTTTTAATTACCTTTGTGATTTTGGTGTTTTGTGTTTTATGTGATGATTTGAACCTAGTGCACTTGTATATAGTAAACTGAAGAACGTATGTAGATCTTTATTTATGCATGCCTTCTTGTTTTTATTCTGCTTTAGAATTTCAACAATTTCCTAGTTTGTGACGTCTTGTTACTCACATGGCAATAAAAAGGATTCTGATTCTGATCATGTGAATGCCCTGTGCATGAAAGGGCTCTACAAATAAAGATTGATTGATAATTCCATCCATTCATTTTCTTCCCCTTAATCCATTTCTGGGTCGAGGCAGTCAAGAGCTTTTACCCAGCCTCCTGCAGGAGCTGAGGCCACAGGAGCACGGCTGCTCGGTCAACAATGGCATTGCTCTTTCAGCGGGGAATTCAGGAAAAGTGGGATTAAGTGTCTTACCCAGGGACAAGAGAGAGCTGAGAGAGAATGGTGTAAGAAATATATATATATGTTTGAACTTTATTACAGACTCTAGGTCCAATATAAAACAGAAAAATAAACAGTTATTACTTCAAGAGACAGCCATACCAGTGTCTCCACCTGTTGGACTGAACTCGAGTGGCACTGAACAGTACATACATCCATCCATCTTCTTCCCCTTAATCCATTTCTGGGTCGGGGGCGTCAGTCAGAGCTGCACCAAAGTCATAGAGCACCAGCCCCTCACTGATCCTGCTGCAGGTGGTGAGTCTACATGAGGCTGGCTGCTCTGTCCGTGATGGTGTAGCCCTGATCTTTCAGCGGGGTTTCAGGCAGCGTGGGGTTCAGTGTCTTGCCCAAGGACACAACAACAGCAGACATCAGTGGGAGTCGGTGGAGAATGATTTGTGGTGGGATCAAACCCACGACCTTCAGGCTCAAAAGCCAATGCTCTACCAATTGAGCCACTGTCGCATTGTAATATTATTATTGTTACTATCATATTTTTCCACCCATGTCATTAAAGTAATACATTTCAATTATTCTTCCCATCACAGGCTAGATATATAATAGAAAAGCCTGGGAAAAGTGCTTTTGCAAAGAGTGGGATGCATGACTTCATCTCATAATGCACTGAACTTACACAAATCCCAACCCACTGTTTACGAGCGGATATAGATAATGACATACCACCCAAAGCTTAAATAGCCACGTGTGATAACTTGTCCTAATTTAACCCTGCAAACTCAGTGCATGAAGTAGGACGACCTAAATAAACAAAAGAGAGAGACCAGTTTTCTCTGAACAATAGAAAGACCAGCTGCCAACTTGCAGGAAGAGATTATCCATTAAAATCTGCCAATGCACTTTCTCCACAGCACATCCTGAGGTAGTGCTCTGATCAAACCTGCAGCAACACGTCTGTTTTCTCTAAAAGAATGCGACAGTCCAAGAACAAAATTGAAATAATGGAAAAAGTTATATTATAGAGTTATATTTCCTCCAAACACATACAGGATTTGCTTGTAAAGTCTGTCGCTCTGAAGTCACTGGCCAATCACGTACCTGACTCTGCAGAAACTTTCCAATCTCCACATGCGGGTTCCCGTAACAGTATGAGAAGGACGCAGACGGGACCCACAAGGACTATAACAAAAGTGACGTTTAAATACTTTGAAGTGAGCCTGATGTGGGAAAAAAAAAACATGCTTACATCTCATGGCTGCTGCAGAGAGAGGGTGGGTTCCTGGCGGTGCGTGTGGGTGATGCAGAGACAGACAACAAATGCAAACGTTTTTTTTTTCTCTCCTCTCAAAGTACTATTGTCCAATTACATCTCACACCAGAGAGAAATGGGACGGACCAGCAGTTCCGTCTTCTCCTTCCCCCTGCTGGTCAAATGTCATACACTTATGGAGGTCTAGAGCTTTTTGGTTTTGGAAGTGTAATTATTAAGCTCATGTAATTTTTTGATCTTCATAACTTTGTGGATATGTCTGTAGTTTTTTACTATTCATTATTTATGAAATTATCTTTTAATTTTTAAATGGAGCAGAGAAGTCGAGACGAGCGAGCACCGTAGATGTATGGAGCACTAGTAACCATAGCAACATACTGCCAACTTGCTAACTGTTAGCATTAGCGGCCTTTCAAAAAAACGTATGCATCTCAAGTTATACAACCAGTTTTTGCACTTATTAAAAATGAGTGAAGGTAAATGTGAATAAAACTAAAGGTAAAAGCGCAGTTTCTGAATTGCATCGATATGAATGCAGTCAAAATGACGGCTCTGGTACTTAAGATGTTATCAATGTAATTGTTGCTCCATCCCGAGTCTCACAAGTCAAACCAGTTTATTATACATTACAAGACAGACAAGTTAAAGAAGCAGTTTAGGTTTTGCCAATTTCTTTCTACGACGCACTGCCTTAAGATTCATGGGGCCAGTGCACGTTTACACCAAATTTTTAAGTATACGTCCAAAAATTCCTTCCCTCCAGATCAGTCTGTGGACGTAAGCCAGTGTTTACGCAAAGATGTTGATGCCAATTTGTTGCATGTCACTCAGCAATGTGCTACTGCAGTCATACGTGCAACAGCTGATGATGGTTAAAAAATGCACAAGAGATTTAACAATTAGATTGACTCAAGTTCTAAAGGCAATTTGACCACTTTGAGGCGCGAGACAATAAGCCTATACTTCCTCACATTGCAAAAATGTTCTGACAAGCAGTCCAAAGTTACAAGTTCAAGGCTTTTTAAAAACAGCCTAAACCACACAACACCCACTATATGAAACAGGAAGACTGCCCTCAGCTCTGTAGGCTCCAGATGTTTCACACATCTCACTCACCCATCAACAGTAGAGCGTGGTATGTAGGGGTTCAATGAGACTGTCAGCAGTGAAGATAAAACACAGGAGTGCAGCAGATGAGAAATATTTTAGAACAAATATTTATCTAGACTCAACCTTTAAAATAAATCATGTCCAACTAAAATCCTGGATTAGAGGACCACATGAGTAGTAAAGTCAAGTAAAGAAAAATCAAAGACGTCGTTTATGTCCAGCTTTTATTTTAACAAAATTACTTAAGATGAACTGGAGGCAGCCACAGCAGCACGCCTGGGTTTAGGAGTGGTTCCTTCTCTGAATCCATTCCTGTTAAAAGAAAAACAAAAACGTTTAAATTATATAAAAGAGTATTGATTAAATGTCACAGGGTTAGGGTTAACAATTTCTGCAAAGCGCACACTCAAAGCCAACATTTTAAATCTCAATTTTTACGATTGGTTCAAACCAGCGCCATGTTTTCATATCTTGATATTCAGGCTAGATAAGAATACTGGTTTTGCTTTGAGACTTTAGTCATTTTGAACGTTCACATATCTACATCAATACCATAAATCCTTCACCTCTAGATCAAACATGTTCAAATACGCATTTATCTGAGGACTTTTGCACCTGATAGCCGCTTCATGAAGTAGTTTAAAATATTCATACAATTCTTTGCATCTCAGATCCAATTTAATTTAAGATTCAAGTATTTGCCATTGGAGTAAAACCACATTGAAGAAACTGCGAGACTACTACCCCTGTGTGTACCAGACAGAAGATCACACAGACCAGAGATCTTGCCATTTGTGTACAGAAAACTCCAAAAGACTGTCCCGTCAACCCTTAAGTGTTTTGATTGAATTGATTATGTATTTTTGTAAGAATGTAATTTTATCGCGGGCTTCACCCTGAAGTCTCTGGTGCAGAGCAGAAACGTCAACTCACTTTCATCTCATGCTCCAGTTAAAGTGTAAACTCACATCTGTTTACTCTCAGGAGTGAAGTTTATGGGCAACACATTCAAACTTTGACATTTGCCAGGAGACCGTAAACATCACCAGTGTTAGCATTTGAAAACTATGGTCAAGTCTGTCATGGAAGTTACACAACGACACCAGAAAGACTTAAGGGCCTTCATAGAATAGTATGTGGATGTTGCAGAAAAAGGATCGACTTAAGCAACCATGCCGAGTCTTTGCATCATTTGAATCTTACATAAGACTTAAGTGTATTATGCATTTTAACTTCCTGCTAGATGTGCTGCCCTACATATTTAACACGTATCTACTCTATCATACTATAATGCAAAGAAAAATTTGAAGCACAGGAGCAGCTGAGGGGACACTTGTTACTCTGCATCATTCGGCCAAGGGCTGAAACTAATTCACAGAATGAAAAATTAGTATATTACAAAGCCAATGAGTGATCTTAAATACCAGCCAACACCAGGTGAAATTTTAGTGCACAGTAAAGCTCCAACTAATTGTCCAAACTGCATTAATAGTGTATAAACTAAGATGGAGTTTGTTAAAGTGACAGGAGTCCACCCTGCATCTTAGGACCTCGCAGGACCCCATATTTCGTCCAGTTAGAACCAAACAATTGAGTATTTAGTTCATGAATACACAATCCATTGAGATTATTCAATCTGGCCATTTTAGTAAAAGGCCTAGCTGCAGATTCTAACTTCACCATTCAATTTGAAAATCCAGTATTAAAAACCTAGGACTAGTTACAGTCCAAAATCTTGTCTCAGCATAAAAGTAGAATCACAAAGAAATCATATGTTCAGACATTTATGAAAAGCATCATTGACAAAGATTGGACTAGGAATTGTCGCACAGCTCTGATCTAAAGGATGTGACCAGCAAAGGTTAGCTTCTGCAAAATGCATTTAAGTACATTTGAGATTCATACATTTCATTCAATTCTATGAGGCTCCGAACTTCAGATGTCAAAGTACAGATTTTTATCACCCACCGTGATTGTCACTCAGGACAAAAACACCAGTTTGGTAACAGGGCTTCCACAAGTGAAACATTGATTTTAAACCTCAATGATACCTTCGTTTAGGCCAATCTTTTAAGTCGGGTATTTGGTAAATAAACTAATCTGGAGGTTACACTATTGAAAATAGCTTAATAAAAGCTACAACCCTGTGGTATCTACAAAATTTCAAATCCCTCCAAAAAACTGATAAGATCTACCTAGTTCCTTGCTCTCACAACTGTTTTGAGCAATATTTCACCTTATATCAAGTCCAATAGAAGTAGAAAACTAGCAGAGAAATCCTGAATACCTGAATCTGCGGTAGACAACCTTCATGTGTCTCAGACGGCCAGTGCCAGTGGTGTTCCTCCTCTTTGCCTTAGCGCTCCAATTATCTGCACACACAAAAAACACGTTTCATTGACATTCAAATACAAACTATGAAACTTCAATCTCTGGAACAAAAGCAGACCAAGGCTTTATAATACTTACACTTTCTCTTGCGCTTCTCAGGGTAGCCACACTTGCCGCATGAAGACTTCTGCAGGTGGTAAGCTTTGGCTCCACACCGACGGCACAAGGAGTGCGTCTTGTTTCGACGCTTTCCAAAAGATGATGTTCCCTTAGTCTGAGAAAGATAATGGTTAGTGCTTTAAGGCTACACAACGTCTAGTAAACAAGTTAGCTGCAGATCTTGTCTCAGAAAAACATTTGAATCACAAATATTCATATGTTCAGACATTTGTAAATTAAACATCATCGACAAGACTTTGAAAAGGTACACAACCCAAAGAGACGATGCTAATGCTAAGCTAAAATGCTAACGCGTTCAAGGAATAAATACAGGATACGGTTTAATAATGTCATTGGTAAACGCAACTATGCAGTGTACGTACCGACACTATCCCATTAAGTACGTGGCATTTACCCCACAATCAGTTCATTGAGTAAAATATGATAACGTGAGAGCGAGCCATGATAGCTCTGTAAAAATGTAAATATTAACTAGAGCTTCACATGGTCCGCCAAAATATGAGTCCCGGTGGATATTAAAAAGTATCTACAACACACGAACAAGGATGTTGTGTGAGAGAAACCATGGATTTAGCTGATGTTTAAAGATATAGGTTGATGATTCGGCTAACATACCATCTTGTCCGGTGGCTAGGGGTAAAGAGACCGGAAGAGGGTTGTGTCACATGAAATAACATCCGTGCGTGCAACATTGAATGGTAACCCCCGCTCCGTGGTCATGCGTTTTTTGCGCATTAACTAAACTGATACGATATGCTCTATGTATATATAGTATTATTATACTTATCTAAAATGTATCTCGGCTGTTTGTGATTTTAACAGATGTGGTAATAATGATAATAACGATGATAATAGTAATACAAATACTTGCAATCATTATGATGGTGAGGATGATTATATATATTACACATGCATCACACTTTTTGAACCCTCTCTTCACATTTACTCCATTCTTACCACGGTTAACTACTCATGTAGCCATCTTTTATGATTCTGCAATCCTGTGGTAACTAAACCTTTCTTCGCCACTGATGTTTTCCACAGTCAATTAACGCTGGATGTAACGCAATGCTTGAGGCTCTGCACTTACGCGTTGAGCGACAATGGCTTGTTAATACGAGAGGGCTTGTTGTTCATAAGACCAATGCTTCAGAGAGCAAATATGATTGTTGGCAAATATTGGTGACTTAAAAACAGAGATGTTTGAGATCATGTCATATGGGTGTAAACAGTGTCTTTGATAGCCAAAATAAGCCTTTTATAAGCATCGTTTGGTTGAATGGAGAACAGCTTGCCAATGCATTACGCACAGTCTCTGATTTGTCTGAGTAGTATCTTGAGCATCCTCCTCGGCGCGCCCCTGGCGCCAGAGCAGGCGCGCACCCTGCACTGTTGCAAGGCAAGCGCAGATTTGAGATGATGATGATGATGATGCGCGTCCACAGCACCATGAGCCTATAGTTCATCCTGATTTTATCCTGCACTGATTCCCTCTGATTCACCGGATTATATGTGCAATTATTTGATCAACTGAATTCATTCAGTTTTTTTAATCTGCTGAATTTTTAAAATATTTTTTTCTTTTTCCGCCGACGTAAGTCGCGCGGATGTCATTGTTTCGACAGGCTGCCCACTGGTTTATCTAGGTATTCTCTGACCACAACATGTCCTGGTGGAAGGACAGTGAGCGGTGGTAGAGGAGCGATGCGGTGTCGAGTGGTCAGAGTCTGGTCCTGAATGCTGCGGAGAGACACCTCGCAGGGTGTCAGCCTCAGCCCTGGATGCTGCGCCGCAGAATGGGATACGCCGACCCATCGTCGGGTAAAGACATACTCGGCAATAGGTCTCTCTGTTTTATATTCATTTGCGCATTTGGGCTCGTCACACTTTTGCAGCAGATACTTTATGGGAAAAACTACATTAAAAGGTAAGTGTCATTATGTGTAGTTTCCATGGTGTGAGACTGTAGGCCTCTTGAATATTACAATGAATAATTCAATAAATCTGCTAAGCACAACACTAACCTCGTTATAACTAGTACATGTAGCCTTTGAGCAGACTGGCACCAGAATGTATGGCAAAAATGCAATTAACCATCCATTATCCCAGTGACATAGAAACTGTTTTCATTGGATTTATTTTCCGGTACGTTTATAAAGATGAAGCATCACATTCACACCATACACAGTGCACCTGCAGTGTATGGTTATTATTTCCCTTTGTTTCCCCAATGATCTTTATTTGATTTTATGTTTCAGCCTTCTCGACTGGTCCTAGCCTACATCTTACAAGGCATCCACAAACAGACAAAATACAGCTCCTCAAACCTATAACATGAGTCAGATGATGTGTATTTCTTCCCTTTTGAACAACTCTTTTATTTTAACTAGACTTGCACTATGTTTAGACAAGGCAGATGAATGTTTTATGACGCCCTAACAGCCTCATGTTCTTTACAAATGGCTGTGTCGGCTATTTTATTTGCAGACCCCTCCTTTTTACAAGAACATTTCAGTGTGAGACGAGCAGATGTTGAGAAGCTGGACTTTTGAAACAACAAAACAAGGACAAAGGATGTTCCCCCCACATAGATTTTTGCATAAAGCACATATATGGTTACTTGACATACATGTGCTGCAATGTTGAATTCCTCATAACCTTCTCACCCTTTGACATTCCGCTGCAGTGAATAAAACAAAACATTCATGGCATCCGGCAAAGGAGATGCATGAATTCAGACACCTGCGCTTGCGCTTCTCCTCCTGGCGCTCATAGGACTGAAGGGGGAAAAAAGCCATACGAGGCAGATCATCAGTTCTATGGCAGCCATTTTGCTACAGTCTGCGGGCACACACACACACACACACACACACACACACACAGATGATGGGAGTGTGTATGAATAGATGTGTGTTATTCAGGCCTATGGTTTGTTACACAATGTTTTCCACCGTTACCTCAAAATGGCAAAGGGGAAAATGAACGTCTGAGTGAGAGACCTATTTTGGCAGAGAAACACTTCTGTCTGTTTTGATAAATTCAACATCAGTGTTACAGCTGCGATAAAACATGTACTTTATTTGTGTATAGCCCTGAATCACAACAGCAGTCTTCAACAACCGATCAGAGAATCAAAACAGTCCGAACATAAGAAATGCAATGATGACAAACGCATAGAAGCCATAGGTCCAAAGGGAGTGGGGTGACCAATGTCCAGACATATTGATAAATGTGCATAAATGTCCTGGATAGTCGCTGTCCTTAGACACTCCTGCATTGGTAAGCAAATGATAAACAGTGGGAAATGACTGAACAAGAGGCAAAATGAGCTGTTTGACACTTTAATAAGTTAATCAGGTCACTGTTACTGTTCCTGTCCTGGTTTGAGTCCAGTTTAGGCCTGCTGTAGACTTGCTTTGGTCCCATCCCGTTTGAGCTCTGCAACTAACAAATGTATGATTATAATCGTCTTCTTCTCTATCTAGATAAAAAGTGCAATCAAAATACCACTATTTTATATTAGCTATACATTATATTCATCTAATCTGCAGAGAAATTATAGTTATTTTCAGGTAAATATTAACGACAAAAGCATGATTGTTAATGTTTTAAAAATAACCCGGGACATCACTTATTTTCCATTTTTCCAGCCAAACCTTTAGTGCATTAAAAGTCAAACACAAGGTTAACAGATTAAAAGACAAAAAGATGAATAGTAGCAAAATCCCATTGTCAATAGATGGATATTGGCCATCCTTATTAAATTAATGAATGCAATTTTGCTAATCGGATTACAGCAGCAGTAGCGCATTCAGAATTAAAGTCTAAATATTTGAATTGGAGGCACGAGATTATCCTGAATGATAAATCACAAATTCGACTGCACCGATTGGCTGCAGCATGAATGCATTTACTCAGATACAAGTGTTTCTTGAGCCAAAATGCAGGTCGCACTGATGTGTAAAGCATGCGTGTGTGAGTGGGCTGCTGTTTGACAAATGCACACAAAGGACTATAAATCCCAATAAACTGACTCATTTTCTTACTAGTGCGCAACAGTTTAGCCGACTCAAAGGGGACGAGGCAGGAAATTGGACGGGTCCGGTTAATTTCTCGGACGATGGATCTCTGAAGCCGGCCAGAAATGGAAGGAAAAGGTATCTTTCCAGCGCGACTGACTGCACAACACCTCTGAGAAAAGGGAGATAAAAGAGTTAAACCTTCCAGTTCTGCATGTTGTGTGGACTGGGTAACTTGATAATGGCTTTGCAAATGCTACAGAGAAGCACTAAGCATTTTTTTTACTAATGTGTATTTTTATATGACCAGTGGTGATTGTCACAAGACTCTATCACATTAACTTTAATTCTAATATTACCTGTCTGCATGTTGACAGATGTTTTCGTCAGAATTTTCAGCCAGATTCTCAGATCTCCATAATAGTCACACCCTGCCTAGCTGATATTAAGAAGAAAAAAAAACGCTCTTCCAGGTAGGCCTCCTTGAAGGCATTTTTTTTAAGTACTTTCACAAAAACCAAGAATGCCTCTTTCTTTTTTTCATTAGTTTGAAAAGTTGTAAATTCTCATATTTTTCAGTGGTGGTTGTACTTCAGATTTGCTCTTGCATGTTGTCCGATCCCGTCCACCTTGACCTCAGAAATCCCTGAATCCCATCTCCTCGTTCAAAGAAGCTGCTTTTGTACTGGCTTCTCCCCTGTGTCCCATCCAGCACCATCTCCAAATGCCTTGTTGTTCTCAAGCCTGTGTTCCATACATGTTCCGCACAGCCTGTGTATGTGTATGCCATAGTGTGGACACGTCTCTGCTTCCCTTCCTGTACCTGCCCTTCTCACATCTGCATTGTCTCTCTCTGCGTATACCTGGATATACTTTCCTTGCAATTTCCAAAACTGAGAAGACAGGGTTGTCCAAAGCAAACCACTGAATGCCGTCAAAACACACTGAGCATGTCAACACTTGCTATGGTGAAAAGCAGTCATTTTTTAATTCTACATTTAACATACAACATCACGGCAACTAAGACATTTCAGCGAGCAATCCTGACTTGGCTTCCCCCGCCCTTTTCAAAGCAGACATTGCAAAGGTTTGATCGTCTTTGCTAAAAAAAAAAACAGACACAAGTCACAGACAAATCCTCTTTCAGAAATACACTGCATCATCAGGTGGATGTAGACAACCAGTTTCACCATTCATACAGCTTCATCCCAGCATCTACTTTAGTGCATCCTTACATTGTACTTGCCTGTTGTGTTTTTTATCATTGTTGTTTTATTTATTGGAATTCAGCTATGAATCTTGGTTTAAGTTTTGTTTTAAATGCACTTTCTCATCCTCCATCTACAACACATTAATAATCTCTCAGTCATTTCTTCTTTTCATTATTCTTACAACACCATGGGTCACTTAATCATTGCCAATTAAACCAAATAGTATTGGTGTTAATGGCAGTTTCAATATTATTTATTATTACCGTTATAGGGGAATATGTGTGGGTTGTTTTTTTTACTACTAAAATACTATAAATACAACTAAACCTGCGTTGCCAGTGCAGATATAGTCACTTGATCAAACCAACTTGATTTCACCTCCAACTCAAACTTTCAATTCTGCTTTCCGACAAATCACCTTGAGAACAAAAATCCCTAAATGTGAACATAAACAGAGTGGACGTCATGCCCAATGTTTATGTATTTCAGCATAACGATTGAATTGATTTGAGCCTATAGACCAGGGGTGTTCTACTCGGTCCTCAAGGGTGGCAGCAGGTTTTCATTCCAACCAAGCAGGAGCACAGCAGACTCCACCCATTTCCACAAGTGAGTCCAATCTGAACCTGCACTGCAAAAAATAAAAAAATAGAAAATCCAATAAACAAGCTTAAATTTTGCTAAATGTATCTTAATCTGAGCATTCTGACTTAAAACAATAGCACAATGGGACAAAGCAAAATTATCAAAAATATCTTAAATACTAAAAATGTCTCTCTTGGAATGAAAAAATAACAGTTTTTGAGATAAGACTAAATGGCATTATCCCACTGGCAAACCTTGTTTTAAATCATAATGTACTCACATTAAGATACTTAATTATCACTTGATTCAAGCAATTATTACCTCATATTTTATCATTTTCTGTAGTGTGGGGACTGGTGTGCTCTTGCTTGGTTGGAATGAAAACCTGCTGCCCCACCTGCCCTTTGAGGACCGAGTTGAATACCCCTGATTATAGCCTAATCAATGAGGACACAGATAGACGAGTACAAAATATAAATTATATATTATATAATTTATATGAAAATATATATAAAATCTTATACACCGTTCCTTTAATATATAATCAAATGGTTCTTTATGTAGATTACAATATAGTCATTATGTAGACTGATGTCTTTGATCTCGAGACAACTTTAAACAACAGTATATGGGGTCATTCATCTCTATGTAAAACAATAATAACAATTGTAAATGTCCGGACACATTTGAAACACCCCAAAACCAGAGGTGTCCAAACCGGTCTAGAAAGGTTTGGACATAAAGCAGGTTTTCTATCAGACCCAGCAGGAGCAGAGCAGACTCCTCCCGTTTCCTCAAATATTCAGGTTAAGAATGAATTTTATTGAGGAAGAGGGTGGAGTCTGCTCTGCTCCTGCTGGGTCTGATATAAAACCTGCACCCACAGAGGCCCTTTCTGGACCGGTTTGGACACTTCTGCCCTAAACATAAAGCAAAACCCACACAAATAAATCACTTTATGCTGTGTTATGAAATATTGTAATCATGATAATAAAAAATCCCACACAACAAAAGAACACAGACTAAAACGCATCACGATCTGCACCAAACCGCACCAGCCACACACTCACTTCTCTCATTCACCATTCCACAATATACGCTAAGCCCGATACAGTAATTTCATGAAGTTAAACCACAAGCTTGTCAAGTGTTTTTTACAATGTTGTCCTTTTTTCAATGTTCTCTGTAGTCTACAAATGCCACTCGTGTCTCCGGTCAATGATTGTATGTATCTCACCAGGTATCTGGAGAATTATGAAGGCTCCTTCGAATACAACTCCACTGCATGCAGGGAGCTTAGACAAGAGATTATGGATGTCAAAGTCCTGACAATGTGAGTCTTTACAAAAACAGTTGATGCAGAAGAGGATTGGGGGATTAGAATGAGGGGGGTACTTCAACGCCACAGTTTATGGTTAGTATAATCTCGCCTGATCAGCCAGAACCACACCATTTGTCAATACTATGTTGAGAACGCAGAGTGGTCTGGCTGGTCAAGCAAGAACTTATTTATTATTATTATTATTATTATTATTATTATTATTATTAGACTCTATTGGAGGTGGGCGTGTATCGAACATGTTTTGCTTTTGAAGAATGGTAACTTTAAGTCTATTCTATGGTGTAAACTTGTAATAACATAAGATTTTTTTTTTTCATTTGTGTGACAAGACTACAATTATATGTATTGTCATGTCCACAATTTAAATAAAAAAATAAATAGAAATTAGTATTTAGTGGCTCCACCTGCATTTGAAAGCCTGATTCTGTCAGATCTCAGAAGCTATGCAGGGTGGGACCTGGTTAGTGCTGTGATGGGAGACCTATGGGAACAGCAGATGCCACAGTGAGGGGGCATCGGCTGTAAAGTGCCTGTTGCTGTGTCCTCAGGCAAGACACGCCACCCTCATTGCCTCCTCTGAGTCTGGTGTGCGTGAATGAAGGGTGGTCAGAGGTGAGATTGGCTAAAATTGGCAGCCTCGCTTCTGTCCGTCTGCCTCAGAGCAGCTGTGGCTAATAGTCTACAATCACCATACTGATATAAAAGCAAAACAGTATTCGGTACGTCCGCCCTTTTTAATAGAGTCTTCAAAATCACTACAGAGCGCCTATATTTCACTTTTTTGGAAAATAGAAAACTTAAAGCCTACAAACAATCTTTCTGTTTACATTATAAGTCACGAACAATATCAATAATCAAGATATCATTGTCATGTCCGGGTCTTTATCCGGACAATTATAGCGACAAAAACAAATTAGCACTTTCTGTAGTCAAATCCCTGCATAATCAACATGTAACGCTGCACTGTCTTTCGTCATGCTATCCATGTAGTGTAAATGTCACACCATCTCGTATTGAAGTCTCTGGAAACCTCAAAACAACACAATTTAGAAATATGTTTTAGACCAATCTTGATTTTGCGCACACTGACTGTTAATGCACAGAAATATCCGAAATGCCCAGTGTTGTATGTGTCTTGAGCCCCTGCAGAAAACAGAACTGTACCAGAAATCCCAACAGTAATGAAGCCATGAGGCCTTCCACTCAGAATCCGCTATTTACAGACAGGTTAGTTAACATCATTTCCGGCTGTTACGGTGCACAGGTGTCGGAAGTAGAACATTCCCGTTAAGGTAAATGTAAAGTGACATTTAGGGAATTGTCGCAGTTATTCGATTCAATGTATTTTTTTCATATTATTATTATTTAACATTGAATTCAGACACACAAAGAGTCCATACAACACAAAACTAGGCAATTCAAAATCAGTCCTAAGTCTCGGAGGACTTCTTTACAAGGCTGTCGATTTCAACCAATCAGAGAATCAAACTGTCCGAACAAAAACGATCATTTTATTTAAATGTATTTATTGAGAAATATACAAAATGCACATAAACATGGCTCAAAGCTCAAGTGTGCAAGGCTACAATTTTCAGTAAAAAACAAAAATACAGAAAAATATACGAAAAAAATAGATTTACAGTGCAAATTCATTAAATATGACTTTTGGTTTTTGGTTGAGGAACTTACAGCTAGAGAGAGATAGAGAGCGAGAGAGAGAGAGAGAGATAGAGAGAGAGAGAGATATAGAGCGAGAGAGAGAGAGATAGAGAGAGAGAGACAGAGAGAGAGAAAGAGAGAGAGAGGGAGAAAGATAGAGAGAGAGAGAGATAGAGAGAGAGAGAGACAGAGAGAGAGAGAAGAGAGAGAGAGAGAGCGAGAGAGAGAGATAGAGAGAGAAAGAGAGAGAGAGGGAGAAAGAGAGAGAGATAGAGAGCGATAGAGAGAGAAATAGAGAGTGTGAGAGAGAGAGAGAGAAAGAGAGAGAGAAAGAGTGATGACCAATGGCCATTAACATCCAGTTTAGAGGCTTAGCTGGGAGTGGCACAATGTCAATGTCAGCTTTTTCTGTATAGCACATTTGCAACAACACGAGCCGCTCCACAGGCCCGAAAGATGGAAAAAGAAAAGAGCATAAAAAACATACACATACAGGTAAAAAGTAAAACAGTAAAACTCAATTGGTTTTAAAGGCCTATAGGTGTACAAATGTGTGCGCAATGCATAAGGTGACGTCAGGACGGGCCAAAAAAGTTCCTTAGAATCACAAGAAAACACAGAATTCTGAGGAACTTGTTTGTTGTCAGCGCACTTTCTCAGAGCACTACGTTTGATGTTAGCTTTGTGTATTATTATTAAAATGGATTGCACTTGTGTTTTACCCCCAAACCACTCATTAAACATTTGCCCGGTCTCCATTTAAATCTCCTTGTATTGTGTTAAATGAAATGCCAGCCAATCTCTCTTTCTTTTACGACTAGAAAGAAAGTGGATGTGGCTTCACCTGGTCTTTTTGTACAAGTGTGTGTGTGTCTTTTGCCAGGGTGAAAACCTCTGAGCTGTTTGAGAGATGGAGAAACCTGCAGGTGTGCAAATGGAGCCAGAGCAAGGAGGGGACCAACAGCTTCAAGTAACTCATCGCTCGATACTGATAACTTATGATATTGAGCATAAATACGCGCACTTCTTTACCTCCCTCCTCCCTCTCTTCTCTGAAAGGATGTCCCTGTCACGCTGCTGCAATGCTCCCTCTTTTCTGTTCACCACAAAGAGAAACACTCCGGCAGGGACCAAGCTGAGGTATGAGGTGGACACCAGTGGGATTCTGCCCATCACCTCGGAGATATTCAAGATGTTTCCAGATGTGAGTTTTTATTTTCTGTTTATATTGTGAAAGGTAAAATTGCAGTATATGTGCTGCATGGTGTCATGGTGTTCCCATTTACAAATAAAACGTAATTTATTTCTAAATATTGATTTTCTAGTGGGAGGAAGTCACAATGTACTAATACAAAATGACAATACATTTTTATTCTTGTATAGCCCTAAATAGAATTAAAAAAAACATTGAAATCACCAACACAGATCAGAGAATCAACAGTTAAGACACAGAAAGTACACATATGTATTGGTCCATAGGGAGACCGATACATGTATGTAGTAATGTAGTAATATAAAACCACAACATACATATAAATACTGTATATGTACTGTATGCATGAACACAAACAAACAAGATTCATAGGGAAAATATTGTTTCATTATCTCTTTTCCTCCAGCTATATCATTTGTAGAAACAGGAGTTATAATGGACATACAGTACATGTCAGTACATGACTTATATAAGTTTGACAGGAAAGTTTAAATAAAAAAGGAAAACAAGAGAAATCATTGTAAGAATCTGTCCACCAAACATTTCAACTAACCCTGTGCATTATAGGTATAGTCTGTGTATAGTATAGTTGTGTATAGTATAGTCTGTGTATAGTATAGTTGTGTATAGTATAGTTGTGTATAGTATAGTTGTGTATAGTATAGTTGTGTATAGTATAGTTGTGTATAGTATAGTCTGTGTATAGTATAGTTGTGTATAGTATAGTTGTGTATAGTATAGTCTGTGTATAGTATAGTTGTGTATAGTATAGTCTGTGTATAGTATAGTCTGTGTATAGTATAGTTGTGTATAGTATAGTTGTGTATAGTATAGTTGTGTATAGTATAGTCTGTGTATAGTATAGTTGTGTATAGTATAGTCTGTGTATAGTATAGTCTGTGTATAGTATAGTTGTGTATAGTATAGTCTGTGTATAGTATAGTTGTGTATAGTACAGTTGTGTATAGTATAGTTGTGTATAGTATATTCTGTGTATAGTATAGTTGTGTATAGTATAGTTGTGTATAGTATATTCTGTGTATAGTATAGTCTGTGTATAGTATAGTTGTGTATAGTATAGTCTGTGTATAGTATAGTTGTGTATAGTATAGTTGTGTATAGTATATTCTGTGTATAGTATAGTCTGTGTATAGTATAGTTGTGTATAGTATAGTTGTGTATAGTATAGTCTGTGTATAGTATAGTCTGTGTATAGTATAGTTGTGTATAGTATAGTCTGTGTATAGTATAGTTGTGTACAGTATAGTCTGTGTATAGTATAGTTGTGTATAGTATAGTTGTGTATAGTATAGTCTGTGTATAGTATAGTCTGTGTATAGTATAGTCTGTGTATAGTATAGTTGTGTATAGTATAGTCTGTGTATAGTATAGTTGTGTATAGTATAGTCTGTGTATAGTATAGTCTGTGTATAGTATAGTCTGTGTATAGTATAGTTGTGTATAGTATAGTCTGTGTATAGTATAGTTGTGTATAGTATTTAAGTCACTGTTTTTGTTGTCTTTTTTCACCCCTGTGAGATGTGAGTTATTAAAACATTTAGCAGACATAATTTTCTGCCTCATCCAGTCGATATTTGACCAAACACATTTTAACATTCAGAAGAAAAAGTGCGTCCATTCTCTCTATAAATTAAAACACATTAGGTAAGAACACAAAAGTAAAACTGTACATACATGATAAACAGACATCACCCTTTTTCTCCATCGTCGTCGACCAAGACTGAATTGTTCTCTCTTTCCTTCCAGGACATGCCTTATTCAAAATCACAGTACAAGAAATGTGCTGTCATCGGAAACGGTGGCATCATCAAGAACAGCAAATGTGGGAAGGACATTGACGCTGCAGATTTTGTCTTTAGGTACCGTCCAGCAACGTCACGGTTTTTTTTCAAGATTCAAGATAAAAGTTGACACTGTATTGACAAATACTTTATGTTTAGGTTATTTGGTTCTTCTATGCCAGACCAGAACTAAATAACGTCCTCTACTAAGACAACTACTGTTAGTTTTGAGCTTCAAATATTCAAAGTGTGGGATGAAAAAGAAGATAAGAAGATTAGGGCCTCTAACTCTATCTTGATACATACTAGGGCCTCTAACTCAATCTTGATATACTGTATACTAGGGCCTCTAACTCAATCTTGATACATACTAGGGCTTCTAACTCTATCTTGATACATACTAGGGCCTCTAACTCGATCTTCATATACTGTATACTAAGGCCTCTAACTCTATCTTGATACATACTAAGGCCTCTAACTCTATCTTGATAGATACTAAGGCCTCTAACTCTATCTTGATATACTGTATACTAGGGCCTCTAACTCTATCTTGATATACTGTATACTAGGGCCTCTAACTCAATCTTGATATACTGTATACTAGGGCCTCTAACTCAATCTTGATACACACTGGGGCCTCTAACGCTATCTTAATATAAACTAGGGCCTCTAACTCTAATTTGATATACACTAGGGCCTCTAGTACAATCTATCTTGATATATACTGTACTGGGGCCTCTAACTCTATCTTTAGGGCCTATACTGGTGCCCCAAAACCCTCTTTTTGATGTATACTGGGGCCTCTAATAACATTGATGCTGGTATATACTGGTATTAATGTGTATGTTTTGCTTCTTTTCAGATGTAATATTCCACCCATTAATGAAAAGTACTCAGCTGATGTTGGAACCAAAACAGACTTGGTCACCATAAATCCGAGCATTATCACAGAAAGGTACAGTGCAAACATCACTCAAAGAAGCTTCCCATGTCATTAATCATTCACTCCATACACGGTGGTGATAAACTACTCCTGTAGCCAAAGCTGCCCTGGGGTACTCTGACAGAAGCGAGGAAACCAGTATGTGCCCGTGTGGCTGCAGGTTTTCATTCCAACCAAGCAGGAGCACAGCACACCCCACCCATTCCCTCCAGTGAGTCCAGTCTTAACTTGAGGACTTGATTCATCCATCCATCCATTTTCGTCCTGGCTGGGGCTCTATTTCTGAGAGCACCAAGCCCTCACTGAGTCCACAGGAAGATGGCTGCTCTGTCAGTGAGAGCACAGCCTTGACCTTTCAGTGGGGGGTTCAGGCAAAGTGGTTTTAAGTGTCTTGCCCAAGGACACAACGACAGCAGATCAGTGGGAATCGGTGGAGAAGGTCTCGTGGTTGGCTCGAAACCACAACCTTCAGGCTCAAAGACCAATGCTCTACCAACTGAGCCACTTGATTCAATTCAATGTATTTTTGTATTGCCCTAAATCATAACAGTGTAGATATCTCGGAGGACATTACAAGATTGTCAGAGAATCAGTTCAAACACAAGAAATGCTATGATAAAAACACTTAGAGCCGTTCGGTCGATAAATGTTGTTGAATGTTAAGCGTCCAGAATCATCACCACCAATTCCTGCTTGTTTGGAACGAAAACCTGCAGCCACTCAGCCCTTAAGAACACCAGTTTGACCCCCTTCTCTATAGATTCTATCCCGAATGTTGTTCTTACTTTGTCCAGGTTTCAAAAGCTAGAGAAATGGCGTCGCCCTTTCTACCAGGTTCTCCAAAACTACGAGAACTCTTCGGTCGTGCTCCCGGCTTTCTACAACACCCGCAACACGGACGTCTCCTTCCGAGTGAAGTACATGCTGGACGACTTTGACTCTCAGCGAGGGGTCTTCTTCTTCCACCCGCAGTATTTGCTAAACGTGCAGCGGTTCTGGGCGGTGCAGGGCGTCCGGGCGAAGAGGCTGAGCAGCGGCTTGATGCTGGTGACCGCTGCCTTGGAGATGTGCGAGGAGGTCCATCTCTACGGGTTCTGGGCCTTTCCCATGAATCCCTCCGGCATCTTCATCACGCACCACTATTACGACAACGTCAAGCCGAGACCGGGCTTCCACGCGATGCCTCACGAGATTTTCAATTTCATCCACATGCATACTCGTGGGATTGTCAACTTACACACAGAGCCTTGCATGTGATTTCACTGGACTTGTACTGTTTTGCTTACGGTTTGCTCCTACTTCGATCTCTTTAGAAGACACAGATGCTCCTTATGACTTGCTTGCTTCTTTACGACTTTGTGTATAGTATCCTGCTGCTTCATTGGTGGGTTTCTCGATCTCTCACTTCTCGTGTTCTTCATAGTGGTGTGACACATGTTTGCGTGTGGTTCTGCTCTACACACTGTTTAACACTGATGCCCGGAGGATCACAGCGGTGAGGGCCATAGTGAAAGTCTGGCACACACACATCCTTTGGTTTCACTTTGGCAGATTTAAATGTTGTGACAAACTGGAGTAATTCAATGCTAAAGAGAAATGAGAAACACTAAAGACTTTTAAATGTAAAATAACATTGTTTAAAAAAAAAAAAAATCTTGCCTGTTTTTTCAAAGGCAGCTTTTGTTTGAATGATTTTGTTTTGGACAAAGGATCGGAAATGGTTGTGTTGCGATTTCAACTTGGCTTGTAGTTTTCAAAGGGACAAATTTGATAAAAATGTTCCAGTTAAATAACGTTTTAATCCAAATAACAGTGTTGAGCGACCCAACCTCTCTATGTCTTAAGCCATACTGCCTTATGAGCTGTAAACGTTTCCCACAAAATCAGGAGGCAATTCTTCTACTGATACACGGGGTAAATGATCGGGCCCAGTCTAAAAAACAGTATGGGGGGTTTTCCTTCATGTGGATGCTCTGCATGGCGTTGCTCAGTAGCTTCGTGCCTGCCTGCTTTAGTATCCATCAAAACATGTTTACATTTTACAAGCCTTTGCTGATGGTAACATTGATTTGAATTACAGAGTATGGATCTTTTGTTTGTTCATTGAAGATTTCAATGTTTTGATGAATGCTTAAACATTGTTGATGTCAGATTCATGACCGTTTGCTATCGCTGTTTTCTGATGACTGAAGTTGGATTTGCACTGTAAAAAAAACATTGCACCCAAAAGCTCTGATGTTCAAAAACATGTTATTTTAAATTATTATATGTGTTAATGTATTATCAATTTTTGTGTTGACTTATGAATTAATTTTCTAAATATGATTTGATGTTACCTTTTTACTGACAGTATTTAGACCAGAGATCCCCTGTCACAAGACGGGTTTATGTACGTTACATAATGGATCAATGTTTTTAAACTCAACAATCTTTATGTTTGTAAATAAAATTCTTAGGAGATATTCACACAAATCTGTGTCTTTAATATTTGCTACAATCTATGTTTCATGAGTGACTAAGAGATCCTTTATTTGTCACAGTGGGGACATTTGTGTTACATAACAGTAGGAATGAGGAGCACACGGCACACAATAAATGAATATAAGTGAACTTTACTCAAAACAATAAAAACAAATATAAACCAATTACATAAACTACTGTACACATATAAGGTACACCTGTATACTCTGGTAGTGCGTGAATGAAAATGGAATCATCTAAACCTCTCTACTCCTTCTACAAGTTCTAACATGGACCAATCTGATCTCAAACTGATCAGGAAAGTTGTAACCCTTGTCCAGTTGTGACTTGTTTTAGAATGAATGCACAGATCCAGAGCTTAAGACCAATGTCTGCGCCTGCACATATGTTTTTATTGATATGCACTACTAATGAAGCATTTACAGCAAGTTAAGAAGCATTCTCAGTTACTTCCATCCATGTATTTTCTTGCGCTTAATCCGTTGCAGGTCGTGGGGTAAGCGTAAGCAGAGAAACCCAGACTTCCCTCTCCACACACTCCTCCAGTTCTTTCGGGGGAATCCTGAGGTGTTCCCAGGTCAGCTAAGAGACCCCTGTCCTGTATGTGTGCTGCAACACAGACATTTCCCCTATGTGGGGTGAACAAAAGGTCTCTTACCTTATTTTTATAATGCATTGGTTTTATATAGCGCCTTTTTCGACTCTCAAAAGACACTTCACATGTCAATAAATATATATTCACTCCAAACACAGTGGAGATAAACTACTACAGTAGCCACAGCTGCCCTGAGGCAACCAGTCTGTGCCATCGGCCCCTCTGACCACCACCAACTATTCACACACACACCAGACTCATTCTAGGCAATGTGGATGAAGTGTTTTGCTTAAGGACCCCAAGGCAGTCTGGCACTTCACAGCCGCAGCCGCCCCACTGGTGTTCCCAGAAGTCTCCCAAAAGTATTCAAGTAACTCTGGAGATTGGATAAATTGGGTAACAAATCTATGTTGTAGATTAGTAATAATTAAAACACACACTAAAACCGGATCTGAAACATGTCTATTGTCAGATTCAATGTAATATATGAGATAATTCAATCTGGAGCATCGACAGTGACCGCAGAATGAAAAGTAAGAGAATTGACAAACACCAAATGACTCTTAATTGGGATCAGGACAGTGTTACTTTGCGGTTGTCAGAAAATGTTGGCGCTCGTGTTTCGGGCAGTCTGGGTGTGTGTCTGGGTCCAATCGAGACGCCCCCTGCAGTAAAGCGATCCTGACACTATGAATAATGGAGCGAGCTGTGGCAGCGTGGATAAGTTCTCTAAGCAAGGCTCCTTTTTCACAGGGCTTTCTCCCCACAGTCACGTGACTAATGAGGTGACAGTAATTTTTCATGAGTACTGTCTATTAGTCGTATGTCCAAACTGTCTGGATGGCAGGGTTTCAGAGCTGCATAAGTCTGTATACCGGAATGCTTCGCTATCAGTCTCTAGAGCTCACACCAGGCTCCTATCAAAGTCATGGCCTGAGATCGGCTCAGCCTCCATCAAGGGTCAGATGAATTGTCTTACCGCGTTAGAAACACAAAGCCACAATTACGAAACTAAAGACCAGGGAAGTGGATAAATAAAATATGCCGTCGAAAGAGAAAAAATCCACAGCTTCGGGAGAAACCGAAGAGCTCGATGACGACGTGGAGGAGACGTTGCCAAAGAAGAGACACAAGACGCACAAGAAGCAGTCGACTCCTCCTGAGCCAAGTCAAAATCAGGAGGCTGCAGTCCAAGAGAAGAAGAAAGAAAGCGGAGAGAAAGTCACAAAGAAGAAGAAAAAAGTCTCGGAGGATGACAAGAGCACTGTGATTGAAAAGGAGGATGAGGAGCAAAACAACAACGATCCAAAACCTGCTTCCAAAAAGAACAAGTCTGAGAGTCGTAAAAGCGAAGTGACCGACGAGGCCAAGGAGAAGAGGAAGAAGAAGAAGAAGCCATCCTCCGAGGACGCCGAGGGAGCGGAGCAGATGGGATCCAAGAGCAAATCCAAAGACGGGAAGAAGAAGAAAAAGTCTCACAACAACGACGACGAGGAGCCGCTTATCGAGGAGCAAGACGGAGGCGAGGACAGCAACAAGAAGAAGAAAAAGAAGAAAAACAAAAAGGGCTCTGGAGACAGCGACGATGACAAAAAGAAAAAGGGAAAGAAGAAAAGTAAACAGGTGGACTATGCGGCAATCTACCAGCAAGAGCTTCTCAACTATCACACGGACTCCTCTGACGGCTATGAGGAGGACTACTACAAGAAAAAAGGTACAAATATTCTTCAACCCTTTCATGTTCACGCCTTGAAAAAGCAATGTATTTTTTTGTTGGATTTTCGAAGATGTAGGAGCACTAATTAACATATTTTTTGAACCCCCTAGTTTTTTAATTATAGACCTTTACCAAATGGTTGAGATGTAGTTTGATGGTAAAAGTGCCAAAGTGATAGAGATGCCCCAAGGAGGTTGATTTCAGTTCCAAGATTCAAGTAGATACCTCTATAGTGACTTCAAAAGTGATCCATCAAAAGCGCAAACCATTAAAGAGTTCATTTATTTCTGTACACTGCAAAAAATTAGTCAAAAATTACTGCTCAAATGTGGCAAAATCTATCTGAATTTAGCACATTTTGACTGCCTTGAAACAGAATTTGCCATGGGACAAAGCTATATTATCTTGTTTTAAATATATATATACAAGAAATGTCTCTGTTAGAATGAGGAAATGAAGCAAAAGTTATTGAAATAGGACTAAATGTCTTTGCCCCGTTGGAGAACCCTGTTTCAACACTGTCAGAATGTGTTGAAACAGCCGGTTTTGATGATTTTACTGATTTTCAAGACCTATACAGAACATTGTGTGGTAAGACTCTACAAATTTTGAAACCAGATTCTGAAAGACTGTATTGTCTAGTTTCATCAGCAAAAATAAGTTGGTTTTGTTCTTAAGTAATCCCCAGTCAAATTGAGGGAAGTGTGACAGAAATCTCCAGTCTCACACAACTACGTCAATGGCAGTCAATGCGTTAAATTAAGATAAAAACAACTCGATTCAAGTATTTATTACCTCATATATTATCATTTTTCGCAGCGTACAAGTCAAATACAATGTTATTTTTTAATTAGAAGTCTTGGGAATGTGTAATGAATACAGAGCGAGCCTTCGGTGAGTATGAGGGGCAGCCACGCTCGGGATATCCTGTGTTATTGTTCATGGACTGAAAGCATAGCGACGTTCCACATGGACGAGGTCGAACAGAGGAGTCTGGACGGACAGGTGCTGGCTGTCGGACCAGTGTGTGGCTCAGCACCGGGCTTAAGGCCAATACAACCCAGCTGAAGAAAAGACAAAATAATCACAGCCTGACTGAGGGGAGAAGGATTGTGGGAGGGTACAAGGACAGTGGGGATGTTGCAGGACACATTTATGGACCAAAGGCTTTTTTTTAATCATTGCATTTAATTGTGTTTGAACTGTTTGACTCTCTGATCTGTCAATGGTTTTTGTAAAGTCCTCTGAGATAGAAAAGGGGGATAGATAGATAGAGAAAGATTGAAGGAAGTGGGAAACAGATACTAGGAATAAACAATATTTACAACAAAGCAACAAAACACAGACAAAAAAACACATGAAAATAAATAGATTTTTGATTGTGAATTGAACATATATACTCCCCCTCATATACGCTCCAACTTACAGTGGTCTTATCCCTTATATCATAATCTATACCATAATCATAATAATGATTCTAAACTTTTCTCATGTTTAAGACTTTTTCAGTGCTTAAAACACAAATACATAAAAGTGTATTTTCTTCCAGTTTATGAGGTGGTCGCTATCACTGGGGATGTGAAAGGAGCTGGGACTGACGCCAATGTGTTTGTTACTCTGTTTGGAGAGTTTGGGGTCACGCCTAAAGTTCATCTGGCCAGCAAGTAAGTTTTATACCCCTTTGATTGACTGATTTTATATTTTTATTTTTATATTTGGATCCCCCTTTAGCCTCCACATTGGTCACTAGTCTTCATGGGGTCCACTCCACACAAGCTCGATTCATATTAAAACATTTCAAACATACAGAATCAAACCATTTACATAACAAGACTGATTAAACATAATTCTTCAACATTTATCCGAGCATTGTTGAAAAAATATATGTATCATTAGTTATTAGTGATTATTGATTGATTGGTTTTATTCATTCAAGCTGAAATTACACTTTCGCTAAAATTTACAATATTTACATTCCTTTATAGAGATACTTTTGTGCATTGATCTGTTGCCTACTGCGCCCATAGTATACACATGCAAATATATATACACATGCAAATATATATACATACACATGCAAATATATATACACATGCAAATATATATACACATGCAAATATATATACATACACATGCAAATATATATACACATGCAAATATATATACACATGCAAATATATATACACATGCAAATATATATACACATGCAAATATATATACACAGGCAAATATATATATATATATACACATGCAAATATATTATACACACATGCAAATATATATACACATGCAAATATATATACACATGCAAATATATATATATACACATGCAAATATATATACACATGCAAATATATATACACATGCAAATATATATACGCATGCAAATATATATATATATACACATGCAAATATATATACACATGCAAATATATATATATACACATGCAAATATATATACACATGCAAATAAACATACAATCAGTTTTGCCATTTGTATATAAAGTTGAAAATGTATTTCTTTTTCATGTAAATTTGTCGCTGAGAAAACATTTTTTTTTAAATATGAATGTTACGTATTTACTTCCATAGACAATTAAAGTCAAATACATCTAACTGTTTTGTTTTCTAACATATAACCTATTTTTGTTCCATTTCTGTTCCACAGCACTGAAAAGAGGTATATTTTAGGTTGGTTTTGAAAAGCACCGCAGTTTTGAATCGTGCTATCGCTCTGCTGTATGAGACGACACTGTTTTACCGACCACATTTATGAACCGACGCGTTCTACACAAAATAAATGTGTTCTGTCAGTGCCCTCATACAAACACAGTGGAGCAATAGTGGAGACAATATCTGGAGTAAGGAGAAACTATGTGACATGGCAGGTCTTCTTTTCATTTTGGGCCAAATGAAAGAAGACCACGATGTCATTTCTGCGGCTGATCGGGTGTCTCTCAGGGGATCTTCGCAGCAGCAGGCTCCCTTTATCCTGGCACTCGTTTATTGATGGATAAAGTTACCTGCAGCGTATAGGATCCAGCTTATTACAGTCACCAAAACCTAAGGCTACCAGTGCAGAGAAGCATCCCCAGCCATGGCCACTTTGTGTTTCCAACCAGTGAGTAGTTAGTAGTAGTTTAAGATAAGATTAGAGAAGCTTTATTCAGTGGGGAAAATTCAATGGACAGTAGTAAGAGCACACAGAGAGCACACAAAATATACAGTATGCTGGTATGTTTCTTAGCTAGCTGTAAGTGCTTCAATATCAATATATAACTGTATCTATATCAATCTATATATAGTGTTATATGTTTATGCATAAAGGGCAGGATAAAAAATAGATAAAGTGACATTCATGGGACATTCTGAAATTATTATTATAATTAAAATTATAAATCGTATTTTAGTGCTAAACAAATGCCTGACCGAAAGGGGTTAGAGTTGAAGTTGAGACATACTGGCTAACCCCTATTACTCATAGAAGCAAGAACAGAATACTGTTGTTTCTGGCCAAAATGAGTTCTGCCTTACTCAGATATGCATCAGCCTGTATTGTGTAATGAATGGTTGACATTGTGGAACATGATACAGGTACAAAAACGTATCAGCCTCAGCGATCTGCACCGAGGCAGATAAGAAATGCAAGTCTTTGGACATTCACTGTAAATATCCATTTGCATGAATTTCAAAGTTTGTATGAGGTTTTTTGAAAGTTTCATTGTATTTCCTGTGTATAATCTCTGTCCTCTGGAAAGTTTATTAACACTACAACTCCCAGAGCAGTCATTTTGACGTGTAATTACTCAGCATATGCACATTGTTGACTCTTTATATTTCTATATGTAGTTTATTCATTTTTTAAATGTGCAGTAAACTCAGTATTTGACGGCTGCATTGTTTTTGTTTATGTCAAATTACATTTTCAGTTGCTTGGCAACCAATATTCTATGGGAGATAACCTTTTCTAAAGGTCATGGTCCTGAACTGAGTTGAGTCAGGTTTGGATTTCCACCAGAGAAGAGAAAGTACTTGTTACCATAGCAACACACTGTCTACTTGCAGCAGTTAGCATTTAGCCTTTTCATGAACTGTTTTTGCAGTATTTTAACTAAGTAATACGAACCAGTTTTATCACTTAGTAAAAGTAAAAAACATAATAAAATACAGAAAAAAACGAAAAAAACTGGAAGTAAACTAACTATTATTGGGGGAATTTTTTTCCATGGGTTTTAATGAAAACGGTCAAAATGACGGCTCTGGGAGTTCTGGCAGTTTCAGAGTTCTGGGAGTCCTAGTGTGAATACTCATGTTTTTAAAGATGTTATTTCCTCATTTTCAGAAGTCGAACGGCGTTTGAGAAGAATAAAACTGATGTTTTTCGCATCAAGACTCACAACGTGGGACCTATACAGAAGCTGAGGTACAGAACAGCACATTATCCACATTTCAATTACATTAAGATTATGGCAGTGATTATACAAATGTAACCATCTGGGTCAGAGAGACACATACACAAAAGCTTTATTGTATCTAGGAGGATATTTTACTTCCGAGTGGATCATCAAAACTATTGGTCCTCCTAACTGTCACTCATTCTGGTGATACGTGCTCGTCAAATAAGACCAGAGAGTTTTGTTGAAAAAGTGGAGACGGCAGTTCTTTCCTAAAATTTGGGAAAATCCTCCTATATACTTAAACAGACACACTGATAATTAATAGCAGAGATAATTTCATAAACATCATTACATAGATAAAAAAGAAAACCCAACATTTTGAAAACCAAAAGCATACATAAGTGGAGAAATTACACTTCCAAAATGAAAACCCATCAAATTGACTGCTCTGGGAGTTCTAGTGTTAAACCTCTCTCATTCCAAAGCATATTTAGAGCAGTGTAACAAAAGGAAAATTATTGTTCGATTTTACTTAAATAATCCATGGTTGTAATTAATGGACTTCCTTGTGACACCTGTGCTGCTTCATGGTCCTCTCTCCACAGGATCGAGCATGACAACACGGGGATGAACGCCAGCTGGTTCCTGGACCGGGTTCTGGTCACGGACATGAATCGGCCTCATCTGCGGTTCTACTTCGCCTGCAACAACTGGCTGAGCTTGGAAGAAGCGGACCACCTTTATGTGAGAGACCTCCTGGGCAGCCTCAACCCCATGGACGTCCCGAAGCGTACGTCTCATCTGCCATGACATAAAACTAGTGAATAGATGATTAACTACAAGAGTAAACGCCAAGTAACGCTACATGACGTTATGCTAACTTCCATAAGCTACTCCCAACATGTTCTTTTTTGTTTGCCTGCTATTAACTAACCGCATATAGTTAGGCTAGGTTAGGGTTAGCTAGTGTTGATATAAATCCAAATGCATAGGTCAATATAGTTGGATCAAAAAGTTTCACATTTAAAGTAAGTTTTTCAAGTTCAAACCATAATGTCTGAAGTTCATGGTTCAAACAAAGATCAGTGTTGTTCCAGGACTGGGAGCACTGACTTTGGGCCTTCCCGAGGTTTTTCACGTTTTTTCCATAGACTTTTTTATTTTAATTTTGGCCGAAGAACAGAGATGACATTAAGGGACATTTGGACCATTTATGGACATTGGTCATTTTCTCCTGTGTTATGTGTATAGAGGGATCCTACGGTCACGTGACTAGCAGCCACGGCAGCCATACTGGAGGACAACCTCGGCGAGTAACAGCCCTGCTAGCTATCTATAACTGGACGTTCAAAACTAGAACTCTCTCGAACTACATGAAAACTGAACAGAGAATTTGAAACTTCAGCAGTTAGTGACCCAAATATATACTCGACCTAAATTCATGAATCAGATCCTCTGAAAATGCGTCCTAAAATGTATTATTAATGTTTATCGTTACATCCAGGTTTACCGTGGTCGCATATTGTCGCATTAAAACAGTGTTTTTTCATAAAAACGTGAACAGAAAATTCTGAAAACCTCTGTGCACGTGTATTAAGAAAGTATATGTATAATGTATTCTCCGATTAACATTTAATGTGTTTATTGTTACACCATGGATCTATGTGTGGCTACACTGCAGTGGAAATAATGAGATTACATTCAAATCAATGGAGTTTTCTGCGTCTACTGTGAGGAGCCGTATATTTTATTAATAAATACTAGCACGGGGCACCCTCGAGCACGGCTCAGTCGTTCACATGTCTGCTGGCCTTCGGTAAAAGTCAGATACCCTGTGAACCGGGTGAGGTCCTGTGTGAGACCAAATATATAACAGCTATGCTACAAGCTAAGCTACAGTCTATGGAGCAACCCCACGTTGCAGTCAGACAGATATGTTTTATCCTTAAACTTCTGTTTGTTTCGGAATAACACTAAATCCGCCATCAAATTGATTTCACTTAGCAGAAATGAAATGATCCGAGCATATTCGGGCGCTCTGGGGGCTATTAGTTTTTTGTTGTTGCTTATGGTTGTGCCATTTCTCTCTCGTTTCTTTGAGATTTCTTCTGTTTTGGAGCCGTGTGAAGTAAGGACGGCTGGCAGTCGGTAACACAACTTATTTTCCCTGTCTCTCCTTTTGCTGCAGCCAAAAACGGCAAAAATTTTGAACATGTTAATGCGGTCCCGGGTGCACGCCACTATCATACAGCGTTTGCTTGTCCTCCAGTATGGCGGATGCCCCGCGAGTTCGAGGCATCGTGACGTCACGTGAGATATCTCTATTTCCAGTGTTCGTACCGTTACATTTTCTGATCTGTTGTAGGCAAATCAACTTTGCAAAGTCCTCCAAGACGACTTCTGTTGTGATTTGGGGCTAAACACAAATATCTAGAATTGAGTTCAGGTTAATGTTAGTTGAAAGATTTTATTGTCTATATTTGGAGCCGTTTTTGGAAATGCAACAAGAGTTAAAATAGTAAATCGGCCCGGTCCTGGTGTAGAGGACAAAGCAGTACAAAGAGTTCATTTGAAACTTTGAGTATGTTGTGTTTTACCTAACTGTTTTACCGCTCTGTGCAGAAATTGTTCCCACTTATAATTAGAGTAAATGAGACATCACAGGGCTCCTCAATTTCACAAAGAGTCCAGCCGTTTGTTTGTGCTCCAAAGGCTTCTCTGACAGATTCAGTCATTTCATTTCATTTTTGCCAAAGAATATTTATCCAGGTTTCCTATATCTTTTGCAGTGAATAAATATATTGTGAGTGTGTTCACTTCTGACATGAAAGGCAGTGGGACTGACGCAGATGTTTTCTTGAATATCTTTGGTGAAAATGGCGACACGGGTAAGTTTTCAAACTGGTGTACAAGGTCTACACTCACACACACTTACACGGAATTGGTTTATTTATGTTGTTATGGTAGTTAGATAATACAGTACTAACCTTCCCCTGGAGAGAAGGGAGGGATTTAGACACAGCTCTGTCTACAGCTGTTGACCTGATGTGTTTATGTGAACAGCAGAGCGATAAACAGGAAGTGCAGGAAAATACACAGAGCTTGTTTTTTTGTGATTAGGGCTATATTCAGAGCAAGGTTTAGGGATGTATTAGTTTGAAACATTTTAGTGCGTTAAAAGACCTCGTCCAAATGATGTGTCCAGTACAACATGTTACAATACTATATGTGAACAAAATGTACTTTCTCTAAACATTTAACTAGTGCGGTTTATTTATAGGTGTACTTAATACTCCAGCAAGTACTTTACTTTAATGCAAAATTGTTTAGCTTCTAGTTGACGGTGTTGCCTTTGACGACCACTGGCTTTCCCACTTAGTTCACAGACATTGTTTTTTTGAATGGCGGTACATTTGTGTTTCAAAAGGGGAGCGACGACTGGACAGTGACAAAGACAATTTTGAACGTGGTTCTGAGGACAAATTCACAATTGAATCTCCGAACTTGGGACGACTGAGGAAAATAACGATTGGACACAATAACAAAGGTTCCTCAGCTGGATGGTTTCTGGATAAGGTATTCGCTCACGTTTTCAATTCATGCTTAGAGTCAAAAGTTTTAACACATTCTCAAAACAAATGACTGTTTCCATCTACCGTTTGCTTTTCTAGGTGGTCATTGACGACATGGGGAACAAAGAAGTTTATGAATTTCCTGTAAATCGGTGGTTTGCTATGGACGAAGATGATGGTAAAATACAAAGGGATGTTTTGGTGGGATCCCTGCAGCCAATGGGTAAGTCACGAAACTGCAAAGTACAAGCAAGACAAAGTTTATAAGCTTGATTCTTTCACAGGAATTGTCTACAACGTACAAGTGATGACTGGCGATGTGAGAGGCGCTGGTACCAACTCTAAGATCCACATGGTCATGCACGGCACCAAAGGCATGAAAAACAGTGGCAAGATCTTTTTAGAAGGAGGTGCTTTTGAGCGGCGTCTCATTGATGTTTTCAACGTGGAGATCTGCGAGCTCATAAGTCCGCTAAGCAGGGTCACCATCGGACACGACAATGTGGCCGTTGGTGCAGGCTGGTTCTGCGAAAAGGTAATAATAAAAAGCATATATCAGCAGCATCACCCGCACGCTGTCTATCCACTTTATTTATGTAGTTTACAAAGTGCTGCACAGAGATAAAAGTAACATATTTAAATACAAAACGTCTTTATCTTTTTGTCTGCAATTATTATTTGAGTGTGTTCAGAGTAAAGTGTCAATTCAAGTATTTTGACTTTGAAAGATTATAAACCAAAAACTAAATTTACTATCATAGATTGGAAAAAAGATTTAAAACACAGACATATCAAAGAGATTATGTGGATAAAATACGAACACATTGACAAATAAATTTTTGGCAAAAAAAAACAAAACAAAAAACAGACGTGACGTTTAATTTTTTTTCTATAAATTAAACTGGAGAAAAAAAAATATGGTCTGGTATCACATTTAATTGGTTTACAATATGAAAGCAATCACCTTGTTCCTACTCTGTGTAAGTCTAGTCTCTTAATCAATTGTGGACATCTGAAAATATGTAACAAACTTCCGCAAAGCTCATTCCGTGAAATCATCAGGTCCGTTACAAAAAATAAACAGGGCCGCTATAGGACCTCGGCTAATGTATAAAACAGTTATTTTCTAGCAACTTCTAATGGAGAGCGGAGATATTTGGATACATGAAAAACATAGTATATCTTCTGATTATTAAAATTATTTAAAAAAAATGTCACTCTTTGCCAGCTTTAATAAGTAAAACATGATGTATGACGTAAAAACAGTAAAAATCTAATAAAAACCATACATTTACCTACATTTTTTTAACAGTCTTCAAATGTACTTTTTACTTTACCTTGACTATCTAGAAAGGTGCCTAAGAAATTAAATGTTTTATTATTATTAAAAAATATGAATTCATGAGTAAAACACTGCACTCTCTCTCCAGGTTGTGGTTTATTGTCCGTTCACTGGCATCGAACAGACCTTTCCTTGCGGGATGTGGCTGGACGAGGACGAAGCCGACGGTCTGATAGAAAGAGAGTTGTATGAGATGGTTTCTTTGAGACAGAAGAAAATAAAAAGTAGGTATTTGTTGCTTGATATATTTTGTTTTAGATTTGATATAAACTATGAACTTTAAAACATAGAGTACCCTTGGTCCCTGTGGATCTGGACGTCAGACATAAAAGGAGCAGGAACGGACGCTCAGGTGTTTTTACAAATATATGGAGAGAATGGAAAATCGGATGAAGTGAAACTGGAGAACAACTCTGACAGTTTTGAACAAGGGCAGGTGGATAAGTTCATTGTAAGTATCTTAAAGTAAAGACCTGACGTGAGCTTGAGAGTTGGTGTGATGTCTTTCCTTCCTCCTGATCCTCCCAAATCTAGATCGAAATGCCAGACATTGGGAGATTAAGGAAACTGCGCATCTGGCACGAGAAGAGAAATCCATTTTCAGGATGGCATCTCGCTAAGGTCAGGATTCTTAACTCGACAGCGTAAAGTGTCGACTACAGCAGTGTTTCCCAACCGGGGGTCCGGGGTCTGTGAGGGTTTTACAGGGCATAGGTATAATAGATTATCTTCAAGTACTATAACTTCACTTGAAAATACTGATCACAAGAGTTTTATGTGCTGCCATCACATTTTAAACTTCCCCTTTAAAAAAAAATCTTTTTGATGCATTATTTGTTTCAATCCTGCACATATTTTCACATAAACATAGCAAAGCATGTATTTATAAAGCACCATTCATGCAGACAAAACCCACAGTGTTTAACAGACACAGCAAAACCATTGGTAAATAATAAAACATTTTGCAAAAAAATAATAATATATCGAATGCAATAAATATAATTTAGAAAAAAAAGCAGAGCTGTTTAACTGGACACAACATGATTAAATGGTGAGGTGTTTTAACGCACAGTTGACTCGTGATGGTAAATCCAATCTATTTTGACAATAACATCCCTACTAGTACTTTATGGAGTTAAAATAATAAAGCCATAAACTCCATGTGTGTCTCTGCTATTCACATAAACACACAGGGAATCAGGAGTGTGTGCTGCTACATCAGCTGTGGAGATCAACAGCTGAGAGAGCTGGGACCAAATCCTTTCTTGCACACCCAGGGAGCGCTCTAATTTAATAAAAATACATTCTTGTCAAATTCATTTGTGGCGCTACCTGCATGTGAAAGCCAGCTCCCTTCAGACCTCTAAGACTATGCAGGGCAAGGCCTGGTCAGTGCTGTTATGGGAGACCTCCATAGAACACTAGATGCCTCAGTGGGGCGGCTGCTGCTGTAAAGTGCCAAACTGTCATTGTGTCCTTAGGCAAGACATTTAACCTACATTTTTTAGTATGAGTCTGGTGTGTGTGTGAATAGCTGGTGGTGCTCAGGGAGGCCGATGGCACATACTGGTTGCCTCACTTATGTCGCTGTGCAGTTGTGGCTACAGTTAAATAAAAACTTACTTACTTACTTACTAAAAGAATAATGCCATGTGACCTTTGAGAGTCAAAAAAAGTGATCTATAAAACTGATGCATTATCATTTCTCAAACAATGGTGAGGAAAACATTAAGGTGAATAAGCATGGGAACCACTGGACTAAAGAGTAAGGTCTTACTTCTGCTCTATGCAATTGGCCTGTAATTGACGGCATGTTGTAATTATCATCTGTTTGGTAATTTATTCATTTCTGCTGCCCTCTGATTACGCCTAGGCCACTTTGCTGAAGACCCTGACGATGGAGAAGTATTCCTTTGAGTGTGGTCGCTGGCTGGACATCAACGAAGACGACAATGAGATCGCCAGAGAGCTGTCGGCAACCGGAGATTTAATCGAGGATCCTTTGCCTTGTGAGACTTTAAGATCCCTCCCTATCCTGACCCCGACCGAACTATTGACATTTTTACATGTTTATTTCTATAGTGATAAAGTATCGTGTCACAATATGCACTGGTACAGTCAGTGGTAGTGGTACGGACGCCACAGTGTTTTTAAACGTGATCGGCGACCTCGGAGACACAGGTGAACGACCCATGATTATGAGCAAAAATAACGTCAACAAATTTGAGAAGGGAAACGTAAGTATTTTTGTTAATTCTCATGAGATCATCATTTTCAACTAAAAACAATGGAACCATCAACATTCTTGTTCCCCATTCCGTAGCATGACGAGTTTCTCATTGAGGCGGTGACTTTGGGTCAAGTGCGAAGGGTCCGTGTGGGTCATGACGGTCGCGGCGGCGGCTGTGGCTGGTTCCTCGATAAAGTGTTGGTCCGAGAGGAGGGACAGCCCGAGTCTTTGGCCACAGAGTTTCCATGTTACAGGCAAGTCACAATATCCAGCCATCCATCCATTTTCTTCCGCTTCATCCGTTGCCGGGTCGAGGGGGCAGCAGTCTAAACAGAGACGCCCAGACTTCCCTATCCACGCACACTTCGAGGAGTTCTTCAGGTTGTTTATTTAAACTCAGAACTATACCTACATCAATGTTTGTTTGAGTGCGATGAAGGATAGATAGAGATAATATTGTTTATTTTATTTTTATTTTATTAAAGACAACAAAACAGACACATACATAAATAAAAAAATACAAATACATAAAACAAAAACACAAATGTTTTTCTGTACATATTTCTTTTTCAATATGCAATAAACTCTGTGGGTTGGATTTTTTCTTTTAACTACAGACTATTGTGTTGTGTCCTTCATAAAGACTATTATTAATATTATTTATAATACAACCCCAAAAAGAACAAACATGACAAAAACAAGAAGACAGTAAAAAATTCCATCCATCCATCCATTTTCTTCCCCTTAATCCATTTCTGGGTCGGGGGGGTGGCAGTCAGAGCTGCACCCAGTCCACAGAGCACCAGCCCCTCACTGATTCTCCTGCAGGTGGTGAGTCCACTGGAGCTGAGATCTTTCAGTTGGGGCTTTGGGCAAAGTAGGGTTAAGTGTCTTGCCCAAGGACACAACGACAGTAGTCATCAGTGGGAGTCGTGAAGTAGGTCTTACGGTGGGCTCGAACCCACGACCTTCAGGCCCAAAGGCCAATGCTCTACCAACTGAGCTACTGTCGCCCAGTAAAAAATTGAGAAAATAAAATAGAAAAATTGATGAAGATTGTCAAAGCAGTAAGCAGACGTGACAAAAATACTGATACTGCCTACCCCTTCATTACACAATTACATATTAGTGTATGTATACATATAGTTACCCAACATTATTGTAACATAGTAAGAGTTTTTCTTGCTGTAATGACTTGCAGCCCTCTCACTAGTTCTCCAGTGGCATATGTGTTTAAGTCGTTAGTCGGCTGACCAATGTGCTTGCCATTACAAATGGGGACTAAATGCACAGTGGCCAGCCAGCACTCTAGTAACTAGACCCAAACCACAGATAGACGTGCTGTGTTACTTCACTAAAGAGCCTCTTCCTGTGTGTGTCTGTGTGTGTGTGTGTGTGTGTGTGTGTCTGTGTGTTTGGCTTTTAACCTAATTACCATATGTCATCCTCATGCATGAGCAGCCCGTGAAGCAGTCATTTAGAGTTTGAGAAAGTGATTAAGAGTGTGTCCTTGGTGATGCAGGAGGGTCTAAGGACAGTGGCGATGATCCAGGACACTCGAAATTCAACAAAATTTATAGAGATTTATCAACTTTTATAGACAATGGTCATCCGCCCATTATGGACCAATGTCTCTATGTGTTTTTATCATGGCATTTCTTGTGATTGAATTGTTTGATTCTCTGATCAGTGTTGGCGAACTCTATTACTATTGGGATTTAAGCCTATACAAGAATACACTGAATTGAGCTGAGTTGAATCTAGTAACTGCAGTAAGTAATATTTAATTATATAGCGCATGTTTTTACAGACCAAGGTTTCCCAAAGTGCTTTACAATGTTGAGAGTTCAGATATTTCTTCCATTCTTTCAACATGGTGATGACTGGTGCATCAAAGCCTCCAATCAACACCATCCATTCACTCACTCATTACATTCAGACCTATTGTGCATGTTTTTAGTGGTAGGGGAAAACATTTATGTTGTTTTTACTCACTGACATTGTCTATAATCTATAATCTGGAGATAATAATATAAAGATCTGTTGTATCAACTGGGGTCAATATAAAGGTTTATCGTGTCTCTTTCTTTGTTTTTAGGTCGGGCTTAGGACGTAACGAGGGGATGACTGGAAAGATTTGTTCGAGAGCTAGTCCAGCTGGAGAAGGCGTTCGTCTATTTAGTGAGTCTTATGCTTTCTTTCCTTTTAATAAAAACCTCAATAAATGCATCAATTGTGTATTGGCTCACTGTTTAGCCTTTGCTTTGCAGATATCAGTTATCACATCGCAATCAAGACAGGCAGTGTGAACGGGGCCAGCTCAGACTCCAGAGTGTTTGTGAAAATGTACGGAGAGAAGGGAGACAGTGATAAAGTCACACTTGCTGTTTCTGACAACGATCTGAGGAACTACTTTGAGACTGGACGTACCGATATCTTCACTTTGGAAACATACGACATCGGAAAGGCAAGAAGGGCTTTTAAACATTCTTCTTGATGTGAGGCGCATTTTGAGTTGTTTGATTATTAGTACAGCCTGGTCTTAGCCATCCGTAAACTCTGGTCAATGATCATTTCCTACATGTACGTCTGGGTATTCCCTCCGACCATTCAGAGAGCGGGAGGCGGGTGTTGTAGGTAGATGTCGGTGACGTCAAGTGTTTGCACCGAGATTGCTGATTGTAGTTTGGCAATGGCGGAGAATGCGATAGTAAAGTAATCTCTTCTGGGTTGGCTCCAAAATATCAAGAAATTGAAGCCGGAACAAGAGGAATGTTAGCAAGTTTCAAGATGTTGTGGCTCTATTCCATACGGGCTATGTTAGTGGCAAAGGAGATGGCTAAAGCTAGGCTAAATGCTAAAGCTAGGCTAAATGCCTCACTCACTCGGGCTCATTACATACGTCACTAAACTCAGATCCAATTGTTTCAATCTGCAAAAGGAGTTAACCCCTCCCACCTGTTAACGGAGCTCAATGGAGCACATCCAGACCTACAGTACGAAATGAACTGAGTATTATGGTATGGTAAGACCAGGCTAGTATAATAAGTATTTTAGTGCATTAAACTTTTTTTCAATGATTTAGATCAACCGTTTTCTAATTGGTCACACCAACGAGGGTCTTCGTGCTGGTTGGTTTTTGGACAGCGTGCAAATTTCTGTTCCCGCTCATGGAAAAGAGTACATGTTTCCCAGTCACAGGTGGCTCTGCAAAGATGAAGCCGATGGGAAAGTCGAGGTTGAAATCTACCCCAGTGAGACTCTTGACATCGAGACACGTAATAAAGAAAGTCCTCTGTGTTTTTGATATTTTGTATTTAATAACATTGACGCTTAAATGTTGCACTTTTGATTAGTGATCAACTATGAAATCACAGTCGTCACAGGAGATGTACGAGCGGGAGGAACCAACGCCAACGTGTTTTGTCAAATCTACGGAGAAGTAGGAAAAACTGAAGTTCTCACACTGAAAAGCCGATCCAATAATTTTGAACGTGGCACAACTGAAATCTTTAAAGTGCGTTTCAAAGTTTAGTCACAGCAACACATTATCCGAACTAAAATATCGTTTGTCTCTTCTCAGACTGAGGCTCAAGATGTCGGTAAGATTTACAAGATCCGTATTTTCCACGACGGGAAGGGAATAGGCAACGGCTGGTTCCTGGAGACGGTCGACATCCGGCGTTTAACTATGGGCCTGGTGCAGATAGCGGTGAAAAAGGAAGACACTAAAAAAGACAAGAAGAAGGACAAGAAAAAGAAAAAGAAAGAGGAGGATGAATTCGAATTTATTGAGGAGATGCGAGAAGTTGTGGAGACGTTTAATTTTGTGTGTAACCGCTGGCTGGCCCGCGACGAGGAGGACAGGGAGATTGTGGTAGAACTGCTGTCAGAAGATAATGAGGACCTTGAGAGTGAGTAGCATATATTTTGTGGTTATTTATGATTTTTTTTTTGTCTTGTTTTGTTCAGCACTGTGTATGAACTATGCTTTACAAATACACTTGCCTTACCATAATGAATATATGAGGAGACACTCTAAAGCCCTGTTTCCACCAGCCCTACGTACTCCTACTCTACTCTACTCAGCTCTACTCTATCTGGTTGCGTTTTCATTATGCTTGTAAATTACCCACAGCAAACAAGTATCTGGGGAAGTTCCTTAGCTTCTACGGCTTTCAGCAGCACTCAGGCCATTCTCTGAAGTAGGGGTGGGCAAAATATATCGTAGACAATGATATCGTGAAAGTCAATTTGAAGATATGCTTTTTTGTATTATCGTCCTTTTTCTTTTTACATACATATTACAATTAGAGAAGAACAGATGCCCATTTGGTCTAATGTGTGCCTAAAAAGCCAATCACTGCTTTATTTGTACATTTCAGTAAATATTGAGCCTTTTTGGATGTGTTCTTTCTGTGTTACTTGAATTTGATTTTTAATGTTAATTTATGTTAATATATGTTTTGCAAAGAAGTGTGAAGCTTCTATTTAGATCTGCACTGTCTCTATCTATAGATGCCCTGGCAGCATAACATTACAGATCATTTTGTGTAAAAAATATTGATTTCGTGACAATATCGTTATCGGGCGTTGGAAAAAAAATATCGAGATATTTATTTTTGTCCATATCGCCCACCCCTACTCTGAAGTTTGAATATTTTACCACCAACTCAGTCTGATTATAACCAGGCTTTAGTTGCGGGTACCAAGTAATAAACCCATAATAAATCAGCAATTATAGTAACTTCCCCTTGGACTCATGAATACTTCATAACTCATCGCTGAACCCTGCCCTTTACGACCGCCACCTTTTACTACTGCCACTTACTGCACTGCTAAATGTCTATGGTGTGTATTTAGTGCACTCATATACATTTGTATGAAGACATTTTATGAAGATTATTTTGCACGGCTTTACCTTTTGACTCTTACAACTTGATTGCACCATGAGCCAAAGCCAAATCCTGGTTTGTGACTACTTGCTTACTTACTTGTGTAATGACAATGAATATAATAATGTATAAATAATTCTGATTCTGAACCATGGTTTCCAGCAGCACTCTTTCCAATCTCCGTCAGTTAGAACATTTTACTACCAGCGCCAAACAGGTCAAAAAAAGGGCCTGTTACTTCCATAAACAGGCCAGTGAAAACGCTCCCAATCAGAGTACAGAGTAGAACCGAGTAGAGTGGAGTAGGGTCAAGTAGGGCTGGAGACAAGGCTTTAATTGTACTTTCTTTCTTGAATATTTCTCCTCAGTGAATTCCTACGAGGTGCATGTTTTCACTGGGAACATGTGGGGGGCAGGCACCGACGCCAAAGTTTACATCAACATTTACGGAGAGACCGGTGACACAGGGGAGCGGCACCTGAGAAAGTCCAACAATCTGAACAAGTTTGAGAAAGGCCGGGTAAACCTTTGACGACACAACTCAACACACACCTTAACGTCTTTGTTGACATGTGGGTCTTTTGGGGGCAGGAGGATGTTTTCTCCATCACCGCTGTTGATCTGGGAGTGTTGAAGAAGCTGAGGATAAGACAGGACAATAGCCAGGCCAGTGCGGGCTGGTTTCTGGACAGAGTCGAAATTATTGACAACAAAGACGATACAACGTGAGCTTTATAATTAAATAACACATTTCATCTGATACATATTTTTATTATTATTTATCATTTGTGTAATGTTCTAGATACTTTTTCCCCTGTAAACGCTGGCTTGCCGTTGATGAGGATGACGGGCAACTTGCTCGAGAACTTGTTCCAGTTGATGAAGCGTTTATGAAAAAAGGGGATGATGATGAGGAGGAAGACTCTGAAGCGACACTTGGTCTTGAGCAAAAGGGTGAGGAGTTTATGTGAATAGTTCATTAGCAAATACAAATAAGTGATGTTAGAAAAATATTGGAAAGACTTACAATTTTCCCTTTACCATGTACTTAAAAAAAACGATCTAAAAAAACTATGGTACTAAATCTACTTTAATGCCATACAAATTACAAGTATTATTTCTAAATTAAAGGTGTATCAGATTATTTTTCCAAATTTTAGGAAAACATTGCTCCCTCCACTTTTGAAATAGACTCTGGTCTTGTTTGACGAACACGTATCTCCAGAATGATTGACAATTAGGAGGACCAATAGTCTTGATGATCCACCCGGACATAGATAATCCTCCTATACCTCTAATTCTAATAACAAAACATGTTTAAGATTGTGTCAAAATGTCCAAAAAATATTTAGTAGAAGAAGATAGAGAGTGTGTGCCGAGAGGAAAACATATTGCCGGTGTGTACCATTGGTAGGAATTAGAAAAAAAATATATAATGTTTTAGCTTTATGAAAATTATGCAGAATTAGTTTGTTTGTTATGCAGCTAATGTATTGTAAATATGTTGGAAAATATAAGTGTGGTGGGTAAAATGGTAAAGACAGTAAACTCATAATATTATGTTGAAAGAGGAGGTGAGAGTCTAAAAGTGTTAAGCTTCCTCCCACTTCATTTTTCTCTGTTTGAGTCTTCGTGTTCTTACAACCTCTGTTTTGTTTGTACATATTTTGCACTTGTTCCTTGCGCATTGTGGACTTGAAAAAAAAAACCCACTGAACTAAACTAAATTGTAGCTTGAGGAAGACACATTTTTGTGATAACTGATTTCTTCAAAGCTTTTCATCTGAACCCGTTTTGCTTTTTAAACAGCCATGTCGACCACTTACGTTGTCAAAATAAAAACGGGAGACAAAAAATATGCTGGAACTGACGCCAACGTGTTTATGACGCTCTACGGCTCCAACGACGACACAGGTATTTCTACTCCATGTTTTGATGCTTATAATAACCGGTTCAGAGTCACGTGTGTATCGTTTGTGCACATCCAGGAATAATAACTCTCAAAGCATCCAAGAATCATAAAAACAAGTTTGAACGTGGTATGATCGATGAATTCACCGTGGAAGCCGTCGATCTGGGACAACTTAAGAAGATTCGAATTGGACATGACAATAACGGTGCTGAGACATATTCATCTCTGGAGCTAACACAGAATCCTTGAATTCTAAATTGTTTTTTAATTGATGGTTAGGTGGAGGTTCCGCAGGCTGGTTTCTGGACTGGGTTGACATCGATGCACAGTCACTGGGACAGAAACTGCGCTTCCCGTGTGGTCGCTGGTTGGACCGAGGGGAGGACGACGGCGCCATCGTCCGGGACTTGTTTCCTAATCCTCTACAAACAGAGACATACACGCCATGTAAAGCCCTCTCCTTCATATCTTGCAGCAATTTTCGTGGCCATAGCTGCATGTGAAAGCAGTGAAAGGGATCTGTCAGAACTCTGAAGCTAAGCAGGGCAGGGCTTGGTTAGTACTGTGATGGGAGACCTCTGGGAACGTCAGGTGCCACAGTGAGAAGGCTTCGGCTGTAAACTGTCGAGCTGTTGTTGTGTGTCCTTAGGCAAGACACTTCACACACATTGCCTAGAATGAGTCGTGTGTGTGTGTGTGTGTGTGTGTGTGTGTGTGAATGATGGCACATACTGGTTGCCTCGCTGCTGTCAGTGTGCCCCAGGGCAGTTGTGGCTACAGTAGTAGTTTACAACCCCTGTGTATGGAGTGAATGAATAAGGACATTTGAAGCATATTTAGGAGTCGGAGAAAAGGGCTTTATAAAACCAATGCATTATTATTATATTTTTTTTTTTCACTTATTTCTCCTGCTTTAACTATGTCTTTACAGTTGTGCCTTATGAGATAAAGACTTTCACCAGTGACATATTTGCCGCTGGCACCGACGCAGACGTCTTCATCGTCCTGTACGGCAGAGATGCGGTGTGCACTCAGCAGAAGTCTCTCTGTGTCAACAAAAGAGAAAGGATAATGTACTTTGAACGCGGCGCAGAAGACATGTTTATTGTTGAGGTAAAAATCACAATAACCACATGATAATGAAAAATAATATTCTTTTGTTTTCTCGTGTTTTTTTATGTGTAGCTAGAAGACGTGGGAGATGTTATAGAGAAAATCCGCATTGGACATGATAATCGTGGAGTCAACCCAGGCTGGCATCTGGACAGAGTGGAGATTCGCAGATTGCTAAGGAAAGGAAAGGTTGGTCCCAAATCTTTAAAACAAAACAACACATTTTTATTTAGCAGCAGCCAACATTTTCACAGGTTATTACGGTTTATTCTGCTATTTATTTGCACATTTTGGACCAAAACACATTCATTTCTAAGACACTGGAACTATTTCTGCTCCTGAGCTGATTTGAAAATAAGCTAGCTGGAGGCAATTTCCTTATATGGGCATTTGTTTGGACAGTGTTATTAGCTTCAGGTCGTAACAGAGACAGACGTGTTGCTAGGACGGTTGCTAAGGGAAGCTGGGATTTCCCCTTTGAATGAAGGCATCTGATTGGTTGATCCTTATATGGCTCATATCTGGATGTGAAGAGACATACACATTTAAGCACCAGGATCAGAGAGAGGGAATTTTAAGCCCAAAATTGTGAGTGTGACACAAACAGTTTTCTTTCCAATGTAAGTCAATAGGAGCCAGAGCGAGTTGGAGCAAAACCTCGTCCATGAGCACTTCCCTATCAGGCTTCATTGAGGTAGTGGTTTAGCATTGTCCATACAGTCTGTTGTTGGAGCTTGCCTCCCTTCATTTGCCCAACAGGCTGAGATTTCGTTTTTATTTCTTCACGATTATTTATGTATAAATTATCAATGTCCTTAGAAATATGAATGCTTGCTTTTACCACGTCAGGGATCGGAGACGGTCATCTTCCCGTGCGAATGCTGGCTCGCCAAATCAGAGGACGACGGCGAGACAGTGAGAGAGCTGGTGCCCTCTGACATCATCACAGAGAAACTTTCACGAGACGGAAGCCTGAAAGTGACCGAGGTGGAGGTGGAGGATGCGTTAGAGAGTAAGGAACATTGAGATCATTTTATGTCTGTGTTATAATACTGTACAAATGGTACCAGAGACTTCATCGAGTATTGATTGGGGATGTCCCGTAGAACCAAACAGTAATTAAAGTTTACAGAAAAGATGACAAAGATAAAGCAACTACTGACCAAATGACTGATGCATGTATGACATTTATAGAAACCAGTACTTTACATGTGCTATATTAAGAGAGATCCTTTGATGGTCCCACTGTGGGGAAATTTCAGTGTTGCATTACAATTTACAGAACAGTAGGAATGAGGAGCGCTCAGCACAAGATAAATGAACAAAAACTCAATAAAATAAATAACTCATGTACAAATTAAATCTCTAACTTTAGCATGAAGAAGCAAGTGTAAAAACTCTAGCTTTAGCGTAGTAAGGACGTTAATCTAAAATCTCTAGCTTTTGCATAATCGAGAAGCTAGAATTAAGTTTAAAATCCAAGCATAATTATCATAACTAGTTGTTGAAATCGTCCACCTTCTACTATGAGCCATAATAATTCGCACAGAGATATCTTCATGTGAATTGGTTGAAAAGCACTTTTTCCTTTGCCTGGAGTCACTTATTTTCTCCTCCACAGTTCACACGTACACAGTGTCAGTGATAACAGGTGATGTGTACGGAGCCGGAACGGACGCCAATGTTTTCTTGACAATTTACGGCGACCAGGGAGACACTGGAGAGAGGAAACTCAGAAAGTCCGAGACAAACAGTAACAAGTTTGAAAGAGGATCTGTAAGAAAAGACACTTTATTTGCCTTGTTCAACCGCAGCCTCCTTGTGAAATGACATGTTGTTATTTTTATTGGTTGTTTTTGACAGGTGGACAAGTTCACTATAGAAGCTGTGGACCTGGGGCAAGTCTTTAAGATAAAAATCCGCCATGATAACAGTATGATAAGCCCGGATTGGTATTTGGACCAGGTTGAAGTGGTGGACGTGGACACAGAGGAGGTCTTCCTGTTTCTGTGTGAACGCTGGTTATCGAAAAAAAGAGAGGACAAGCAGATAGAGAGAGCGTTCTATGTTAAGGTTCGCCATTGGTTGTGTGTTGTTTTTGAAGTCCACACTGCAAAAAATGATAAAATATGAGGTAATAAATGCTTGAATCTTCTTATCTTATTTTGAGCACATTTTGACTGCCCTAAAATAAGATTTGCCAACAGGACAAAGCCATTTTTTTCAAGAACTGTTGCTTTTTTTTATCATTACAAAGGAGACATTTCTAGAATATTTTAAGACCAGATCATTTTCTTTTAAGGCAGTCAAAATGTGCTCAAATTGAGACACATTTTGACAAATTTGAGCAATTTTGGCCTTATTTTTCATCTCTTTTTACTGTCAATGACTCCTTAATCCTGCAGTTTGACTAACACAGTACTCATTTAAGATGTACTAACCTTGAACCGTGTGCACAGGGCTTTGAGGGTGTGAGAGAAGGCCTAAACGGCAAAAAGAAACCAGTTCCAGCCGTGAAAACCATTGACAGTAACATGAACAAAAATAAAAAGAAGAAAGTGGAGGAAGAGGAGGAGGAACTGCCAAGTAAGAAATCACTGAAGCTGTTATGGTGTGGATTATTTTTTATTTGGTTTTATTTTGACATTAGGCTAAGTGGATAGCACTCGCGCTTCTCAGCAAGAAGGTCCTGGGTTTGAATCCCGGTCAGACCAGGGCCTTTCTGAGTGGAGTTTGCACGTTCTCCCTGTGTCTGCTCCGGTTTCCCCTACGACTAAAAACATGTACAATAGGTCTGGATGTAGTGAGAGAGTTGATGGTGTTGATTGGGGCTTTGGTAGTGTGTACCTGTGCTCACCCCCATGAGATGCCGGTCCATTGTCGTTGTCTCTGTACGATTTTTTTGTTTTACTTTGGACTTTTGTATTATTTATTTATTGTTTAATTGGTTGGGACACTGCATGTTAATGAACACACCTCTACGGATTGTGGATATTGGGCTAATTTGCATCCGTTGTCCCACACGTATTATTATTATTATCATTAATTATTTATTGTCATTCCTGCATTTTGGGTCCTCATTCATTTCACCACACGACAGAAGCCACCAACTATTCTGGAATATAAACCTTGTATTTCTGTGTCTAGGCATACCTTATCACATCACCATCTGCACCGGGCTGGAGCGAGACGCCAGCACCACCAGCAGGGCGTATGTCATAATAACTGGGGCCAATCTGAGTGTGACGGACAGACTGTGGCTCGACCTGCCAGATGGGAGGAAGGGCTTTGAAGCCGGCTCTCTGGAGACTTTTGAGTGTCACGGATCGGATGTTGGAGAGATCAAAAAGGTCGAGGTGAGTCTGTCAGAGCAGCTGTGGACTTCAGTTTACATCAAGGGTACATGTAGGAAAATCACACCTTTTTGAAGGAAGAGAGGACATTTCAACCCTGGATTTTGTCAATGTTGATTCAATTAAATTTATTTTTGTACAGCCCTAAATCACAACAGCAGTCGTATCGGAGAACTTTACAAAATTGACAATTCCTCAGGAACAGATCAGAGAATTGAACAGTTCAGAACACAGGGACTGCCATAACAACTAACACATACACTGCAAAAAATTATAAAATATGAGGTAATAATTGCTTAAATCAGGACTGATCAATTTGGACGGATTTGCTCAATGAGGGGTGAAATAAGGGTTTTTTGTACGGCACTAAAATAAATGAATGAATTAATATATTGAGTATCCATCCATTTTCTTCCCCTTCATCCATTGCCGGACAGCGGGGGCAGCAGTCTGAACAGAGACTAAGATTGACATATCTCACTTAATAACCCCACCCTTTTCCCATTGTTTAACTTTAACTAATACAATCAGTTCCATTAGATCTGGCTTTTCAAAAAATTACAAATTGTCAGTCTTTGGTGGATCTGGACAAGTTAGAAAACATGTGAATAGTTCATTTTCCCTCACAAAAAAACAATTTCCAGCCGTGCATCACAAAATGCCACTTCTCCGCAGCTCGGCCACGACGGAGCCACTCCAGAGAGCTGTTGGCTTGTTGACGAGGCGACTGTTGCCGTGCCAACCAAAGGGGTCAAATATATATTTTCCTGTAAATGCTGGTTGGCCAAGGACCGCGGAGACGGCCTGACCGCCAGAGTCTTCAACGTGCTGGACGCAGAGGCCATATCCATCTCTCAAAAGGTTTCTCACCCAGGACTCTACTCTACTCTACTCTACTCTACTCTACTCTACTCAGCTCTACTCAGCTCTACTCTATTATACTCTATTCTACTCTACTCTACTCTACTCAGTCCTACTCTACTCTACTTGTCCCGGCTCTACTCTACTCTTCTCTATATTCCTACTCTACTCTACTCTTCTTGTCTCTTCTCTACTCTACTCTTCTCTACATTCCTACTCTACTCTACTTGTCCCAACTCTACTCTTCTTTACTTAGTCTTTCTCTACTCTACTCTGCTCTACTCTACTCTACTCTACTCTACTCTACTCTACTCAGTCCTACTCTACTCTACTTATCCCACTCTACTCTACTCTTCTCTACATTCCTACTCTACTCTACTCTACTCTACTCTTCTTGTCTCTTCTCTACTCTACTCTTCTCTACATTCCTACTCTACTCTACTTGTCCCAACTCTACTCTTCTTTACTTAGTCTTGCTCTTCTCTACTCTACTCTACTCTACTCTACTCTACTCTACTCTACTCTACTCTACTCTACTCTACTCTACTCTACTCTGTCTTGCTCTGCTCTACTCTACTGTGTCATCCAGTTGACAGCACACGACCATGGAGCTCCTGTGAAACATCGCAGCAGATACTGTGTCATGTGTAGATACATGTTTCTAATGTGAAGCGTGGGACAGACCTGTGTTTTTCCTTCACTAAAAACTATTCTCTTCTTTCAGGTCATTTATGAAGTTACCGTGGTTACAGGAGACGTGCAGAACGCTGGGTCCGACACAAACATCTTCATGTCTGTGTTTGGAATAAACGGAAGCACCGAGGAAATGTTACTCCAGAAAAACGAAGACAGATTTGAACGCGGCCAAGAAGATACTTTCAACATGGAAATTGATGATATTGCGCCTCTGAGAAAAATGAGAATACGAATCGATGGCTTAGGGAGTCGACCGGACTGGTTTCTAGATAAGGTATGCTCATAGTTCTGCTATTCAGCATATTATCAATTATCAAGTGATGCAATATTATGTATGTACTATTCATTTATGAATTATTTTTAATTTCTGTTAACTATGTTTTTATTTATTGATTTTTATTGATAGATTTATTTATTCATTTATTTCAGGCAATGGCACAGATAAGTACAAAGTAGACGTATACTGTACCTTCAAGTCATATAGTGCTTAAAAGATGAAGACAAAAAGTGAATGTACAGTATATACTGCACATAAACATGTGACAAAGAAGATAACTTAATTTCAATCCCAATCAGTTGACTTTATTTATCCCAAAAGGGCATTTCAGTTTGGATTATCAGCAACAAAGAAATACAAAATCTACTACAAACAACAACAGTGATACAGCAAGAGAACATGCAAGTTTAAAAAGTGTTAGTGCCTTTTGAAGACTGGAAGAATTGCTGCAATATCAATCATTATGGATCATTTTAGAAAGGATGAAGGAGGATAGCGCCCACCTGAGGACATTAGGGAAAACTGCTGCTTAAGCATGTAGTCAGGATGCAGTCAGGATGCAGTCAGGATGCAGTCAGGATGTAGTCAGGATGCAGTCAGGATGTAGTCAGGATGTAGACAGGATGTAGTCAGGATGTAGTCAGGATGTAGTCAGGATGTAGTCAGGATGTAGACAGGATGTAGTCAGGATGTAGTCAGGATATAGTCAGGATGTAGTCAGGATGTAGAGACAGGATGTAGTCAGGATGTAGTCAGGATGTAGTCAGGATGTAGTCAGGATGTAGACAGGATGTAGACAGGATGTAGTCAGGATGTAGTCAGGATGTAGTCAGGATGTAGTCAGGATGTAGACAGGATGTAGTCAGGATGTAGACAGGATGTAGTCAGGATGTAGTCAGGATGTAGTCAGGATGTAGACAGGATGTAGTCAGGATGTAGTCAGGATGTAGTCAGGATGTAGTCAGGATGTAGACAGGATGTAGTCAGGATGTAGTCAGGATATAGTCAGGATGTAGACAGGATGTAGTCAGGATGTAGTCAGGATGTAGTCAGGATGTAGTCAGGATGTAGACAGGATGTAGACAGGATGTAGTCAGGATGTAGTCAGGATGTAGTCAGGATGTAGTCAGGATGTAGACAGGATGTAGTCAGGATGTAGACAGGATGTAGTCAGGATGTAGTCAGGATGTAGACAGGATGTAGTCAGGATGTAGTCAGGATGTAGTCAGGATGTAGTCAGGATGTAGTCAGGATATAGTCAGGATGTAGTCAGGATGTAGTCAGGATGTAGTCAGGATGTAGACAGGATGTAGACAGGATGTAGTCAGGATATAGACAGGATGTAGTCAGGATGTAGTCAGGATGTAGTCAGGATGTAGTCAGGATGTAGTCAGGATGTAGTCAGGATGTAGACAGGATGTAGTCAGGATGTAGACAGGATGTAGTCAGGATGTAGTCAGGATGTAGACAGGATGTAGTCAGGATGTAGTCAGGATGTAGACAGGATGTAGTCAGGATGTAGACAGGATGTAGACAGGATGTAGTCAGGATATAGACAGGATGTAGTCAGGATGTAGTCAGGATGTAGTCAGGATGTAGTCAGGATGTAGACAGGATGTAGACAGGATGTAGTCAGGATGTAGTCAGGATGTAGTAGTAAGCAGTAAGCTTTATTTATATACCGCCTTTTTCACTGCACATCGGAGTCTCAAAGCGGTTTACAATTGTTGGGTGGGGGTGCCAGTACAGGAGGCACATGCCAGACCTATTGTACATATTTTTAGTGGTAGGGGAAACCGGAGCACCCGGAGGAAACCTACGCAGACACGGGGAGAACATGCAAACTCCACTCAGAAAGGCCCTGGTCCAACCGGGATTCGAACCCAGGACCTTCTTGCTGAGGGGCGAGAGTGCTATCCACTCAGCCACCGTGCCGCCCATGTAGTCAGGATATAGTCAGGATGTAGTCAGGATGTAGTCAGGATGTAGACAGGATGTAGTCAGGATGTAGTCAGGATATAGTCAGGATGTAGTCAGGATGTAGACAGGATGTAGTCAGGATGTAGTCAGGATGTAGTCAGGATGTAGTCAGGATATAGTCAGGATGTAGTCAGGATGTAGACAGGATGTAGACACAATGTAGTCAGGATATAGTCAGGATGTAGTCAGGATGTAGTCAGGATATAGTCAGGATGTAGTCAGGATGTAGACAGGATGTAGTCAGGATGTAGTCAGGATGTAGTCAGGATGTAGACAGGATGTAGACAGGATGTAGTCAGGATGTAGTCAGGATGTAGACAGGATGTAGTCAGGATGTAGTCAGGATGTAGACAGGATGTAGACAGGATGTAGTCAGGATGTAGTCAGGATGTAGTCAGGATGTAGTCAGGATGTAGACAGGATGTAGACAGGATGTAGTCAGGATGTAGTCAGGATGTAGTCAGGATGTAGACAGGATGTAGTCAGGATGTAGACAGGATGTAGTCAGGATGTAGACAGGATGTAGTCAGGATGTAGACAGGATGTAGTCAGGATGTAGACAGGATGTAGTCAGGATGTAGACAGGATGTAGTCAGGATGTAGTCAGGATGTAGTCAGGATGTAGACAGGATGTAGACAGGATGTAGTCAGGATGTAGTCAGGATGTAGACAGGATGTAGACAGGATGTAGTCAGGATGTAGACAGGATGTAGTCAGGATGTAGTCAGGATGTAGACAGGATGTAGTCAGGATGTAGTCAGGATATAGTCAGGATGTAGACAGGATGTAGTCAGGATGTAGACAGGATGTAGTCAGGATGTAGACAGGATGTAGTCAGGATGCAGTCAGGATGTAGTCAGGATATAGTCAGGATGCATTCAGGATGTAGTCAGGATATAGTCAGGATGTAGTCAGGATATCCTACTATGAATAAAAAAATTGCAAATCAACTGGATCAAAGCTGAATATATTACAAAACATAATTTCAAAACCGATAAACATGAACTCATTGACTGCCAGGGACGTCTTCGCCTGAGACTGGAGATTTCTGTCAAACTTCCCTCTTTTCTACTGTGGATTACAGGAGAACAAAACTATCTAGAAACCAGTTTAAATTTGTCTGATGAAAGTAGACAGTCCGGTCATTCAGAATGGTTTCAAATTTCGCATATAGTCAAAGCACATAATATTCTGTGGGTCTTGAAAATGTCCTTTCCTTTATTTTGTCAATGGTTGAACATAATGTTGACACAGCTCAGATTGTTGCCATGGGCTATTTTTTCCTCCATATTTCATCTGTTTGATGTTTTAGCTATGTATGGTGTGGGGTTTGTCTAACATTACGATGCTTCCATTACGTAACATTACGATCCTCTCGTACAATTATTCGAGGTGATCATGCGTAACCTCAAAACGGAGGAAGTGTCTGTGTTCACCTACGAAGACTGGCTCTCCAAGACCCAAGGCCCGAAGAGGACCCTGATCTGCGAGATGGCAGCGATGGTGGATGAAGAGATGATGGTGGAGGAGACCACTTACATAATACAGGTCAAAACTAGTGATATTTCAGGTACGTATCGGGAGAAATAATGACATATGATTGTAGCCACATTCCGTTTTTACTATAAATGTGACTTCCCTTGCCTCCTACTTTAGGGTCTGGTACCGATGCCAACGTGTGGATGATCATTTTCGGTGAAAATGGAGACACAGGGATTCTGGCTCTGAAAGAAAGCAGCAAGTCCAACAAGTTTGAGCGGAAACAGGTCGACATGTTTCGCTTCTCAGACATCCTCAGCCTGGGAGAGCTCTCCAAAGTGCGAGTGTGGCACGATAACTCAGGTCAGCCTCTCTGCTTCATGCCTGGATAGATTAGATTATTACAGATTGCACTAATTTGACTGTCACTTTACTTTACTCGTCTGTGCAATATTGGTTTGAATAATGTCAGAATGTGCACTGTAGAACCACATGCATTCACTGTCACTTTGTCCCAGACCCTCTGCTGCTAACATATGCAAACACAGGACTAGAATATACAGTATTTTAAAGGACAACTCACCCTCAAATCCACTTTTTTTGCTGATAAACGGTATAAATGAGTGTCCAATAGTGTTGTCTACATATCCTGGTCATAATCTTGTCACTTTGGTGCAAATTAGTTGAAAGTTAAACTTTCTGCCTAAAACCGTCTGTGAGGCGCCATCTGCTGGCGACCTGTATTACTACATTTGAATTTTGAATCTGGCGCCAACACTGGCGCAGCAGCAAGACCTGACGTCTGAAGCAAGACCTGACGTCAGCAGCCCCCCGCCCAGAGCAATGTAAACGGCCCAGTCTCGTTCACGCCCCCTTTAGTCCTCCAGGCTACGCCCATTTAGAGGAAGATTTGAACAGGAAATGTGAGTAACGTAAGCTCCGAGGAGCGGGGGTGAGAACCACTTTAAATGTAGAGCACTTTTCCTACACAAGGCAACACAAAGATTAGATTATAGATCCTTTATCGTCCCACAATCGGGAAATTTTGATGTTGCAGCGCACATTGTAAGAGCAACACAAAATATACAATAGCTGCTATGTTTCTTAGCTAGCTGTAATGCTTCACTAACAGTCTTTCAACAAACAAAAAATTAATAAAATCAAAATCACACAAATAATTAAAAACATTAAAATCACAGATGGGATTAGAAATAGCCATAAATAGCCACAGTACTTTAAAAAGAATAAAGATTACAGAACAGAACAGTTTTTCAGGAAAACTGTTCCGGACTTTAGCATTAATCTGAAAATCTTTATTACACTAAAGTCAGAGATTTTATACTAATTCTTGATTTGTCATTATGCGAAAGTAGGAGATTTTAGATTTGCTTCCTTATTATGATAAGTATTTTATACTTGCTTTATTATGCTAAAGTTTCTCTTATTTAGTCTAGAGTTATTGTTTATTTATCGTGTACTGTTCTGTAACCGGTGATGCAACACTGAAATTTCCCCACAGTAGGACGAATAAGGGATCTCTTAATCTTAATCTTGATTTAATCCCTGGTACTTCCTGGCTGCGGCAGGACCGGCTCCAGGATGGCATCTGGAGTACGTGGACGTGAAGGATGAGCTGATGGATAAAACGTTCAGATTCCCGTGTGATCGGTGGCTCGCCAAAAACGAAGACGACGGACAAATAATGAGAGAGCTGGCCTGTGCCAATAACGACTGCCTGGACCTCAGCGAGAAAACCAGTAAAGCCTGAGACACAGTCATGATGGGATGCGTATTATTGACATCTGGATTCAATGTTTGTGTTGTTTTTGATTCAAGAGTATGAAATTTGTGTCACTACTGGAGACACTGACGAAGGAGAGACTAAAGAAAACGCCTGGATCGTTCTGGAAGGACGCAAAGGCCGCTCAAAAGAATTTGTGATGGAGAATTCCTCAAAGAAGAAGAGATTTTTGAGGTAGGTTCTGCCACAATAAAAAGTAAGTATTATATAAGTAGTATATCTTTCCTGCTCTAGTCCAGGGGTTTCAAACTCATTTTAGACAGAGGGCAAACTTAAAAACATAAGAGTCTTTTATAGTCTTTTTTTTGTACTGGAAGACTGAGTTAAAACAAACTATAACTCCCAATAACGTTCTTGTTTACTTTTTTTTTAACAGATTCATGGTTGTTTCCCTGAGACAGTTGGCTTTAAAATGAAGTATAACATGCCATAGTAGCCCCTTAACATCAATACTGCAAGTTACTGCGATTAAGGTAGAAATGAAAATCATTTCAAGGGCCACTAAGAATTGTCTTGCGGACCGGATTTAGCCCACAGGCCCGAATTTGACATGTCTACACTAAAATATTATTTTATACTTGCTATTTTGCTAAAGTCAGAGATTTTGAACTGAATTCTTGCTTCTTCTTTATGCTAAAGGTGATTGATGATTTAGATTGCTTGCTTATTATGCTAAAGCTTAGAGATTTTATTTTATTTTTGTATAGAGTTATTGTTAATTTATCTGGTGCTGTGTGTGCTCCTCATTCCTTCTGTAACTGAAATTTCCCCACAGTGGGACAAATTAAAAGGATCTTTTAATCTAAATGTATATATTCAAAGTAATCGTTTTGAATCCAGTCCACATCATCGCTTGCTGTGTACTTTTAGGGGAAATATCGACCGATTTGAGTTTTCATCTAAAAATGTTGGTGACATTGCTGGAATATGCCTCGGTCACACTCCCAAAGATGGAAAGAAAGTAAAAGTCGAGGCTTTCTGGCACGTCATGGAGGTCGTCGTCACTGAAAAAGAGCTGGGGAATAAGTATACAGATTCATTGTGTCATTTTATTTGTCATACTTTTCCATTTCAGTACAGAATTGTTCATCTCCTTCACAGGTACATATTCATTTGCAACAGCCTCATCCCACTCTCTCCAAAGAGGGACGAGTTTTTGACTTTTGAATGCTCCAAGGCCATTGAAAGCTTTGCCAGTAAAGCCATGAGTCTGGTGCCGGTCAAATACGAGATCATAGTGATAACCGGCGAGGAGAAAGGAGCCGGAACAGACGCCAACGTTTTCATCACCATCTACGGCTCCAACGGGGACTCGGGAAAGCGGCAGCTGCGGCAAAAATTCCGCAATCTCTTCGAACGCGGGCAAACGGACCGGTTCCTGGTGGAGATGCTGGACATGGGAGAGCTGCAGAAGGTGAGAATGGAGCACGACAACTCGGGGCTGGGACCGGGATGGTTCCTGGACCGAGTGGAGGTCACCAACACGGCCAACGGAGTCACCACCATCTTCCTCTGCGGGAAGTGGCTCGACACTAAGAGGGCGGACGGACAGATTGTGCGAACCCTCTATCCCAAATACTAGACGGATACAGGGGTCTCCAACCTGTAGAGCTTGCCCGCCGCATTGCCATTTGCAGTAAAACCCCATTGGAAAACATTTGCAAAAGTCCCCGGTGTGCATCAGACAAGTGCAAACATTAGATAGATAGATACTTTATTGATCCCCGTCAGAGAAATTCAGGTGTCCAGTAGCAGCAAGAAAAAAAAACAAAATTCATTCAAAAAAGCTAACAATAGTAAAAATCAGCAACAGCCAATCAGGTCGCAGCAGCAGAGGTGGAGTAGCCTCTGGGTGGAGCAAGACGGGTCACAGCAGCAGAGGTGGAGTAGCCTCTGGGTGGAGCAGGACGGGTCACAGCAGCAAAGGTGGAGTAGTCTCTGGGTGGAGCAGGACTGGTCAGAGGTGGAGCAGGACGGGTTACAGCAGCAGAGGTGGAGTAGTCTCTGGGTGGAGCAGGACAGGTCACAGCAGCAAAGGTGGAGTAGCCTCTGGGTGGAGCAGGACGGGTCACAGCAGCAGAGGTGGAATAGCCTCTGGGTGGAGCAGGACGGGTCACAGCAGCAGAGGTGGAGTAGCCTCTGGGTGGAGCAGGACGGGTCACAGCAGCAGAGGTGGAGTAGCCTCTGGGTGGAGCAGGACGGGTCACCAGGTGGAGTAGCCTCTTGGTTCAGACCATTTTCTCTGCTCTAGTCCAAAGTAAAATGCTAAATGCTTCATTAGCATTTTTCAAAAAGTTAGCATTCCTCCAGTGGATATTCACCTGATCCACTTGGTTCAGACCATGAATCCTCTCTGCTCTGGTCTGGACCAGTGTAAAACCATGAACACTGTACTGCAGCAACATCTTAGGTAGAAAAAAAGCAAGAATAATAAAATGTATAACGCACAGAACAACAACTGTCTCAGAGCGACTTAGGACCTGCAGCCGTTTTCCAGCGCTTTCAAAAGTCTTAATCAAGATAAAACAAAATAATAAGATTAAATCAAATAATACACTGACTATTTTATGTACACGCGATAACTATAGTAAATGCAAACTTATACCGTGCATAGCAACAAAATGCGATGATAAATGTTATTATTTTTTTATTTATTTGATAGAGACGAGGGTACATCATCAACACTTTCGAAACACTACAGTATTTATAGCCAAGGCTCACTTGCAATGTCAGAATAACGCAACAAAATGCAGATAATTAGCATTCAAGACCGTACGAAGCTGCTATTGCTAGTAGTGCCCGATCTCTCTCATTTTTGTGTCAGAAAGGTAGAAAAAGGTTGGAGACCCCTGCACTAAAGCAACCCAAAAAACCCCCCGTAAACTCAGAACGTGAGACTAGTTTTTTTTTACCCTTCCGGCGCCAAGTTTTTTCATAAATTTGATGTGAAAAAAGCAAACGGTGGAGCCCTGAAACTGCTTAAGAAGTAAGAGGAGTACTGAAAACACAAGAACAATGTTGGGAAATATTTGTGGAAAGCCAGGTCGCTGTACAGAAAGTGTCCTATGTAGCTCCTTTAGCACTTAAAGGGTTAACTTTATATGTGCCAATCTGTTGTTTTTAAAATCTAATCAAATCTTACATGGATTTTATGGAGAAGAAGATTAGTATGTTTTTATATAAATCAGTTGTGTTTATACAATATGTTATAATATTAAATACAAATCACTGTTTACCTTTTTGATTCACTTTTCTTTCTTTTTTTAAAGTTAGATTTATTTAAAACCTGCAGATTTCCCATATCTTCACACTAATACAGGTTTGAAAAGGGGTTGGATAAAGCGTACACTTATTTTATCCCGAGCTCCTCTTCACCAGAGACGCAGTAATCCACAGAATACAACCAGGATTCTGTGCAGGACATACAGTAATATATGTGTACCCAATAAAACCCAAATACACACACACACACACACACACCTGCATACACATACATATACACACACACACATGCATACACATACATATACACACACACACATGCATACACATACATGTACATGCATACACATACATATACACACACACACATGCATACACATACATATACACACACACTCACACTAACATCATGAACACACGCATACATGCACACAAAAACATACGCAAACAAACATACACACGCACACACACACACACACACACATACATACACACACACTCACCCTAACATCATGAACACACGCATACATACACACAAAAACACATACGCAAACAAACATACGCACGCACACACATGCATACACTACACATATACATACAAACAAACACATACACGCACATGTATGTATACATATACACACTCACACTAACATAATGAACATACACAATAAACACATACGCAAACAAACATGAACGCTAACATCATACACACACTCACTCATTCATACACACAAATACATAGATGCAAATATACATACAAACACACACACAAATACACACACGCACACACCTGCCATCTAGTATTTATTTATTGTCTAATGAATGAGACAAACAGCCATTTTATCAATTTATTAGAAAATGATTACATACAAAATCATATTAAACAAGCCATGAAAACTAAAATAAAAGTAAAACGTTTTGCTACAGGCAAAATAAAACAGGAAAATGATAATAATTTGTAAGAATAAATAAAGTATAAAAAATACCAGCCATTTGTAAATCTAACAACTCACAATGTGCCCATACATTTCATCAAGAAAACACTATTAATGCTATATTGCTTAAATATTAATGATAAATATTTATACTTTCAGAAAAGCATTCTAATGTAAAACACTGCTTAGTCATAGATTACAGCCCAGATCCATACGGGAATGTTGGCAGCCCTTTCACTGGCACTTTTTTGGGATTTTTTTGTGTTCCCGGTTTTTATTTTCCAGGAATAATTGTCTTGAATAAATGTTTTTTTTGCTCACCATGTAATTAACAAAGAAGACTAATGTACTGACACCTGAGACATGCATTTTCCCAGATATTGTGCTTTGAAATCCTTGCTCCTCATCCTAAACAAAATAGTTATGGATTTAGAAGAAGAGGATTGAGAACCAAGGAAATACATAAATGTTATTGAATGTGTTGGTGAGAATTCCCAAAGATTGTGGAGTGTGTTGGGGAGAATTCTGAAAGACAGTAGAGAGAGTAGTGTGTGTTGCCGAGAATTCCGAAAGACAGTAGAGAGAGTAGAGTGTGTTGCCGAGAATTCCGAAAGACAGTAGAGAGAGTTGAGTGTGTTGCTGAGAATTCCGAAAGACAGTAGAGAGAGTAGAGTGTGTTGTCGAGAATTCCGAAAGACAGTAGAGAGAGTAGAGTGTGTTGTCGAGAATTCCGAAAGACAGTAGAGAGAGTAGAGTGTATTGTCGAGAATTCCGAAAGACAGTAGAGAGAGTAGAGTGTGTTGTCGAGAATTCCGAAAGACAGTAGAGAGAGTAGAGTGTGTTGTCGAGAATTCCGAAAGACAGTAGAGAGAGTAGAGTGTATTGTCGAGAATTCCGAAAGACAGTAGAGAGAGTAGAGTGTGTTGTCGAGAATTCCGAAAGACAGTAGAGAGAGTAGAGTGTATTGCTGAGAATTCCGAAAGACAGTAGAGAGAGTAGAGTGTGTTGTCGAGAATTCCGAAAGACAGTAGAGAGAGTAGAGTGTGTTGTCGAGAATTCCGAAAGACAGTAGAGAGAGTAGAGTGTGTTGCTGAGAATTCCGAAAGACAGTAGAGAGAGTAGAGTGTGTTGCTGAGAATTCCGAAAGACAGTAGAGAGAGTAGAGTGTGTTGTCGAGAATTCCGAAAGACAGTAGAGAGAGTAGAGTGTGTTGTCGAGAATTCCGAAAGACAGTAGAGAGAGTAGAGTGTGTTGTCGAGAATTCCCAAAGACAGTAGAGAGAGTAGAGTGTGTTGCTGAGAATTCCGAAAGACAGTAGAGAGAGTAGAGTGTGTTGCTGAGAATTCCGAAAGACAGTAGAGAGAGTAGAGTGTGTTGTCGAGAATTCCGAAAGACAGTAGAGAGAGTAGAGTGTATTGTCGAGAATTCCGAAAGACAGTAGAGAGAGTAGAGTGTGTTGCTGAGAATTCCGAAAGACAGTAGAGAGAGTAGAGTGTGTTGCTGAGAATTCCGAAAGACAGTAGAGAGAGTAGAGTGTGTTGTCGAGAATTCCGAAAGACAGTAGAGAGAGTAGAGTGTGTTGTCGAGAATTCCGAAAGACAGTAGAGAGAGTAGAGTGTGTTGCTGAGAATTCCGAAAGACAGTAGAGAGAGTAGAGTGTGTTGCTGAGAATTCCGAAAGACAGTAGAGAGAGCAGAGTGTGTTGTCGAGAATTCCCAAAGACAGTAGAGAGAGTAGAGTGTGTTGTTGTTGAGAATTCCCAAAGACAGTAGAGAGAGTAGAGTGTGTTGTCGAGAATTCCCAAAGACAGTAGAGAGAGTAGAGTGTGTTGCTGAGAATTCCGAAAGACAGTAGAGAGAGTAGAGTGTGTTGTCGAGAATTCCGAAAGACAGTAGAGAGAGTAGAGTGTGTTGCTGAGAATTCCGAAAGACAGTAGAGAGAGTAGAGTGTGTTGTCGAGAATTCCGAAAGACAGTAGAGAGAGTAGAGTGTATTGTTGAGAATTCCCAAAGACAGTAGAGAGAGTAGAGTGTGTTGTCGAGAATTCCGAAAGACAGTAGAGAGAGTAGAGTGTGTTGCTGAGAATTCCGAAAGACAGTAGAGAGAGTAGAGTGTGTTGTCGAGAATTCCGAAAGACAGTAGAGAGAGTAGAGTGTGTTGCTGAGAATTCCGAAAGACAGTAGAGACAGTAGAGTGTGTTGCTGAGAATTCCGAAAGACAGTAGCGAGAGAGTAGAGTGTGTTGTCGAGAATTCCGAAAGACAGTAGAGAGAGTAGAGTGTATTGTCGAGAATTCCGAAAGACAGTAGAGAGAGTAGAGTGTGTTGTCGAGAATTCCGAAAGACAGTAGAGAGAGTAGAGTGTGTTGTCGAGAATTCCGAAAGACAGTAGGAGAGAGTAGAGTGTGTTGCTGAGAATTCCGAAAGA